TCTCGCTGGTTTAAATCCACAAATGGATTTTTTTTTTGTCCATGTGAAAGCTTCTGGGTATTAGATGGGCTGTAATTTGCAACGTCGCCACATTCATATTTTGAATCAGAGAGAGAGAGAAAGAAAAAAAAATTGTGACCGAGACAAGCTACTCATGAAACCATATGGAACATGGAACATCCAATAGAGGGCTCCGTCCTTTTAGCAATTACCCACAATGCACTACCGGCGGCCATACTGGAAGGCTGTTATAAACAAGCCATACACGAATTCGTGTAAACAGCAAAATTAGCCTCTGATCAAAATAAAAATAATAATAATGCTCAAATTATGGGTGTACCCCACTTTAGCTCTTCCTTCTTATCTTGTGTGGAGTTCGCTTGCTAGTGAGCCGGTACCGCCTGGGTTGACCGCCAGTCAATCACAACGCTGACTCACAGAAATCCGCCATTCACGGTGCGGGCAATTCAGAGTGTGCATTAAAACAAGCGTGTTTGTTTTAGTTCTCCGGGTGTACCCGCTGCAAACAGGCCCAGTACATATTAACACATCTCTCATACGCTGTGACGGCCGACAGAAAAATGTGATGGTTAACAAGTTAACTCGTCCAAAAAGAATGCTTGTTTTGATCGCGTAAGCGTGTTACCTCCTTTGGTGAGAACACGGCTTTCAAGAGGAGAGAGTAGAAGGGAAAGCCGAACGCCCAAACTAATTTTCAAGTTACAAAAAAGACTTTGGTGCAGTTTGTCACACACAAGATTTTCAAATTTACCAAGGGGGCTAACTGAATAGACGCGTTAGTACAGAGTGCACTCACAAAGCAATTGCAGATGACGGTCATCACCCCTCCATTGCGGGGGGGGGGGGGGTTCGATCCAGAACCCCTTACATCACCATGGAGGCGAAGAAAAAAGGAGGACAATTTTTTTTTTCCTCCAGGACGATCAGGCCGGCTCGCTGCCGCCTGAATGTAAACCGTGGCCGGCCACAAGTCTGCCGGAGGCCAGCTCAATTTCAAGGGAGCCAACACGATGAAAGCGACATGGCAGCCGCGGGACGCCCGCATGTCGGCAGCTTCCAATCAGAGGACAGCTGTTTCCACACCAAATTAATGAGACTCGCAAACCAAAATTGGACCAATGCTTATTTACACATTTTGAATATTCATGAGAAAAACGAGCTTGTTCAATTATCATCGGCATTTCCGTGCAACAAAAATAGCTTGAAAAAGGGACATCCTGCTCGTTTCCAATCGAAAACGATGTCGCGCTCAATTATTTGAAACGTTTACCGTTTTGAATGTTTTAGGCTGGGAAACTCGCACACGACCGCACTACTGAAGCTAGCTTGAAGCGAGCATTGTCAAAGCCCGTCTCCCGCTGAGTGGCGAAGGTTTGCCAACGTAGCCAAAATTGATTTTTCATCGAGGTCGCGAATGGTTGCAAAGACATTCGCCAACCGTTTCCATGGTTGCACACAAATTTTCTTTTGAACATGGTCATGTTATGCATGGTTGGAAAATTGGCGAATAATATCATGACGCGCCCTTATTGATTTCCGTTGTTTCTAAAACAAGATATTGAAGGAAAGACTGCATTTATTCAAGTGACCTGACCTGGAACTTCACTGACACAATAACCTGTGTATCATGATTTCAACTTAAAATGATTAAGAATGCTAAAAATGCTACTTAAAACTTTGTCTGTCTGAAGTGAACATTAAATGATTCAAAGGTTTCACTTGTACTTCCAATGGGAACATTTGTTTCATAATACCAAAAAAAAAAAAAAAAATCGTTGGTTGCCCGGCGTCTCGCAATGTACTGCTGTTCCACTGTCGCAAACTTTTTCCAAATCTCTTTTCAAATTCTTCAAATTACATCAGGTCTATGTCTGGGGGGGAAATGTGACGCCATCAATTCAGCATTGGTCCCCGCCGCAGAGCTGGCATTCTGCCGCAATTGACGCTGATGATTTACCAACACGGGCACCTGCTTCAAACGCTCACCAGTGTCGGACTTCCCTCCAGGTGGACAAGATTCGATTCAGGGGGATCGGGGGGGCACTTACTTATCTGTATGTGTCCGTTAGGACGGACGGGCTTGGCCCACAGCAAGAGGGCAAGCCACTTGGGAACAACACCCCGCGCTCCCACCCGTCTCCGCCAAATTTCCCAACAGCTGGCGTGTACAAAGAATTACTCTGAGGCGCCTGCTGCATGGGTGCGAACGCATATCAAAAACACACACACACACACATACAGACATCCACCCAGTCTTCAGGACCCCAGGGGGATCATTGCAGGAGATCTGGGGTCTAGACTGTATAGATTCCACGAGTTCCAGCCAAGAAAGAGCCGGTTACACACTAAAAGAGATCCACTTACCGCGGACCCACTTGAATGCAGCTGCCGTGGAGGGGAGAAAAAAAAAAAAAAAAAAAAACACAGGCACGCACACAAATCAAATGATGTCAGTGATGGCATGTGCCAGCAAAATTCGCACTTGAATCGTGGGAGTACCGGGAGAAAACCCGCGCAAGTATGGGGGTGAGCGTGCAAATTCCACACAGGAAGGCCGGAGCCCGGATACGTACCCACATTTGAACCGTGAGCCAGTGGTGCTCAAACACTGTGCTGCCCTCTGTAGGCTACAACTACATGAAACTAAAAAGATGTCTGCAAAAGACGATGACATATGGTTTAAATACGCTACATTCCAGATGGATTGATCATTCAGATTGCAAAATGCTTTCTGACAGCAGCCAGTGTAGTAATGAGGAGACGACCATCATTCTGATAGTTTAAACCATCAACGTGATTCAACCTTTTTTTTTGTTTAACTCTTACTCTTGTTGCTGTTTTTGTGGGGCTCAAACAGATGAATACGATCAGGGCAATACGGCGGGGTTAACTCCACTGAGGTCGAGCATTGCTTGTTCATATTCAACGTGACCTCGTCAGATGTACTTAACGACCCGAAACCGCACGCTGGTCACGCTATTTGCAATTAAGCGCATCGATGCCATCGCGACAAGACAGGTCGCCACTTGCCTGCGCTGTCTCGCTCCCAGCCAGCTACGGGGCGAGAGGTCTCAACCTGCCCGTGGAGAAGCGGCGCGTCGCCGGCTTACACACACACACACACACACACACACAGACACACACACACAAAAACCATACAGGCAGACAAAGTCAAATATGGTGTTGACACTGCCCTCCTCTTGCACTGTGACTCACATCCCCCGGGACTTCAATTAAAAGGCGTGGTGTCGGTTACGGGGTACTATTTCTGCATTTGACACATAATAACACATAATAACACAATACATAAGACGCACTGTATTATTGGATGCAGGCACGGTAAAATGTACGCTCGCTTGAAAAAAATACGGTAGTATGCGTGCAGGCTAGCGTATGTTTTTTAAAAGGCAGCGGCCGCAAAACTGAGGTCGGAGTCCAGATTGAAGTTGTGATATTACCATTTTGGGGAGGGGGGGGGGTTGTCAAAAAAAAGTCGTATTGTTTAAAAAAAAAATAAAATAAAAAAATAATTGAATCTTTTTCAGATTTAAATTGCAATATTAGAAGAATTTAGTTGTATATTTTGAAAAAAAAAAAAAGGTTTTCAAGATTATAGTCTTGATTTACAACAATAGTCGTACATTTGAAATTAAAGTCATAATTTCAAAACCAAGTCAAATATTGTATTTTTGTGGGGGAAAAAGTAATGGAACAAAAAGCTGTCAATTTCCAAACTTGATATCGGAATATTTATTACTTTTGAAGAAAAAAAACAAAATACCGGAAGTAGACTTTCAAAAAAAAAAAAGTGCCGGTATACCTACTTTTAAAAGCAGTATCTTTGCAAGATTTATTTGAGATTAAAATCTTCGTTTTAAGAGAATATAGTCGAATATTTTCCAGAGAAAAAAAAAAGGCATGTATGATATTGTTTTTAGATTCAATTTGTAATATTGCGATAATATCTTCATAGACAACTTTTTCTAATATTAAGCATCATTGAAACCGAATGAGCCACATGAGCGCACCCAACAAGACTCTCCGGGATTTTGACTCAATCGTGTGCTGCCCGTACACGTTCAACTGGTGTTCCTCAGCGCCGTTATGCAACTTCTCAACTTCCTCGGCGAGCGTTCTCAGCCACGGGATCAATGGCCCGAGCTTAACACAATCAAGCAGCGGCGACTCACTCATTCGAATTGAAAGACGTCTGCTGCGTGCGCGCCGTGTGACAAACTCATCACAAAAACAAGACAACAGACGAAATCAATTCCAACTTGTCTCATCGACATGAAGCGATCAAGATGTGCGTGGGCCAAAAAGGTCACCCCGCCCACCCACAGACTCGCCACAATCTCTGCCCATGACTTCATTCGCGGGGATAGGTGAACATCCAAAGCCACTTTCAAGCCAGTGGTTTTAAAGAGCAAAAACATGAATCATTGCCTGTAAAGGCAATAGTTTGACCTTACTCTGATTTCTCCCCCCCCCCAAGGAGGGTTGCAAAATTCAGGTATTTTTGAAGTTTAAAAACGTCCCGTGGGAATGAATGGGGCATAATTTAATAAAATAGCGTGCGAAGGAAGTTGTATATTTGAGTTAAAATGTTTTTGAGATGATAATAGCAATATTAATGAGATTATAAAGTCCTACATTATCAAGAAAAAAAGTCACTGTCTAAACTGTAATATTTAGTATGAACTCAAGATGCAACGATTAATCGACAACTAATTGATGATCAAATTATTGGAATGATTTTTTTTTAAAAAGTAGATTCCGGATAAAAATTGTAATATTACGAGAAGAAACAAAAGAAAAATGTCCCACATTATCTTTGGATCATTTATCGGATATTTTGCAGCTCTTTGCAACCCAAGTCATAAATTTCATGAACACAAAAGAGGTCTTTCCAGGGAGAGGGGAAAAAAAAGTGGGTGTCGTGGGGGGGGGGGGGGGGGGGGGGGGAAACTTTCTCTTACCGTGCACTGCAAAGACATTGCAGGGCTGCGTCCCATGGCGCGTGGACTCCCTCTTGACGCCCTTGATGAAGGCTGGCAGACTGGGTCTCCTCTGGTCCCCGGCAAACTTCCCCGGCTGCTGCCCCATAAGGGAAGGGTGCCAGGCCGCAGCCGGGACTCTCGGGGCCGGACTCAGTCCACCGACAACTGGCCAGTGGGCAGGAGGAAGGAGGAGGAGGAAAGGAGGAGACTGCAGGAGTCCTCCCAGAGTCGGGGCGTCCTCCCCTGGTGTGACGCAGATTTGTTCTGCAGGTCCAAGCTACTCCAGCGTGCCGCTTTTTATCATGCATTAATGGGATTTGGGTGCTGGCGGAATCTGTGGGCAATGGGAGAACATATTTTTTGAATTCGAGTACATGAGGCAGACCTCCATTCATCCATCCATTTTTGTTCTTGTGGTCTCCGGGCATATAAAAACAAATAACCTTCTTTTACATCTTTTTTTTCCTTCCTTCTTGCTTCCTTTTTTCCTTCATTTCATACAAACCATCCCTCCATTCCACTTGCTCCTATTTCCATCCTACCCACCCTCCGATTATTTTTTTCCCCATTAGTCCTTCCTACTTTTCATTCTATCCTCTTTCCTCTCTCCCGACAATTCTATCTTTCCTTCCTCCCTGCTTCACATACTTGCACACGATCCATCCATTTGGTCTTCTGTCCTCTTTTCAATTCTCCCTACCGTCTTTCCATCCTTTGCCTGCCCTTCTTTCAAATCTCTATCCTTACGACCCCCCTTCCCACTTTCGAGGCTTCTTCCCATCGTTTTCCTTTCATACATCAATACATACATTCTTCTTTCTTCCCTTTCTTATTGGTGTCCTTCTCTTTCCTTCCTTTCATTTATCTTCCACCTACTCTTTCATCCCATCCTTAATTCCCTTCCTTCCTACCTTCTATAATTAATTTTATTCTTCTTTCCCTCCTTGTTTTCATACCATCCATACCTCCATTATTGCTTTTCATCCTTCCTCAAATTCATATATCCCTCCCTCCAACCCATCATTTCAATCTTCATTTCTTTCCACTATCCAACCATTCTACCCTCTATTCTTCACGCCTTCCATCCTGCCCAGCATCCCTTTTTCTCCCTCCCTACTTTTTTCCCTATTTTCCCTCCTTTCTTACATACCTCAGTTCAACCTTTTCCATGACTTTGGTCATCTATCAGCCTACTATCCCCACTGCCTTCTTTCCTCCAACTATTCTTTCTTTATGGTTTCCATCTCTTTCCCTCCTCCTTCCATTCCTTTTGAACACACCTTCTTCACTCCTTCCATCCATTCATCCTTGCTCCTTTCCTTCCTTCCATTTATACATCCTAACTTCCTGTCATTCTTCCTGCTTTTGCTTCCTTCTTCCCATTCCTTCGTGATCAAACCTTCCATCCCCGTTGGCCTATTTCCACACTCCATCCCTACCTTGTATCATCCTTCCATTCATTCTCCCATGCTTCCATCAGTTCATCTTCCTTCCATTAGGCCTTCCAACCTTTTTCCCTTCCTACCTTCCATTATTCCATTTTGGCTTCCTTCCATCTGTCCTTCCCCAAATTCGTTAATTTAAAAAGGGTATGCCTACTTTTGGCCGACCCTGCAAACAACTACAAGAAACTTAGCATAGCACAACAGGTATTGTTATCCAAACTTTAAAGTTGCCGACTCGCAACTCACCGCAGAGCGAGTCAATTCAATAAGTGGAAAGCGAGGAACAATAACACGCCTGGTAAGGCCTAGAGGGAGGTGAAAGGAAACTTACGTGCTGTTGTAAACTTAAATCCCGCAGTTTAGCCGAGCAACTCAAGCTACAAGTGCAAATAGCCATGGAGGCTAACTCGGGTTAGCCTCCGGTCCTCTTTGAAGGTGCACGGAGCAGTCAACAGTTGGTCGTCGGCGGCGCCGCGTCGCCTCCTCGCCCGAACACTTTTCGCAACATGAACATCTCCAAATTCAACACTTTTGCTTCATTCCAGCCACCGGGACGCTAAGTTTTGTGGCAAACTTCCGCGTCCGTGACTCCCCCCTTCCCACCCCCAAAACCGGACTCCACTTGGAAGAATACAGGCGACTTCGAGTCCTCCGTCAGCCGGACGCCGCCGACGGCTGCTGTCGTGCCCGCGTGGAGGCCGCCGCTGGCCGCTTCGCTGTCGCAGAGCTCTTCGTTGCCGAGCCGCCGCGTCGCACACGCCTATTCATCGCCTCTCATGTACACCGGGAAGCGGCGGCGAACTTTTGGCCGAGTACTCGTTGTCGGGTGGTTGCTGGGGTCGCCATACTTCCATACGCAAGGTGGTTTACACAAATATGTGGGTGGGGCGACGTATGACGTCTCGTGCGTGCGTGGGCTAGTAAGTTTTTCAAGCCGGCACAAGAAAAGGGCAAGTTGTTGGGTCCTGAGTGGGTCCCGACTTGCGCTGTTTCGAAGTTACGAACAATGTGAGACACTCTCTCCATCTTTTTTTCCCTCCCACTGTAGTTTCCAGAGGTGGCCAAATTATTCACACTCTGTTCTGTGCGTAGAAGCACATACATGTGTGGAAAAAAATACTTTGGTAAAATTTGAAATACAGATTCAATTCCTTTTCTTAGAAGGAAAAGTAATGAAACATAGACTCTAACATGTATTCAAGTACAAAAACAAAAATGTTTTTGTTGTTTTAAAAACTTTGCACAAGAGATGAAAGAGATGGAGGGAAGGATGCCCGTATTATATTGCATAACAATGAGTATACAACATTGTTTGTTAAATACCTGAATTTAGTATAACCATCAGAGTATTTGTAATTGTGCCAAATCGGGGAAAAACTAGATGATGTGCAGGAATCCATAAAGTGTCAAACAACAACTTCAAAGTATATCACATTCCTGCAGGTTTATGTAGTTTCATCTACACAAATGTAACCAGAGCCGTCACCACCAGTGAGTCATACCACACTGAAAAGCGTGATATTTTATTGCATACAGGTTTTTGTTTGTTTGGTTAGTTTTGTTTTTTTACTTGTTGATATCCCAACAGCAGCAGGCATACAAAAACGGCAAAGGTATGTAAAGTTGATTCTGTCAGCGCGTGACTCAGCGGCAGCTGTAAATGACTCTCGATTTAACCTTCCTGTTCAATAAGCTTCTGCTGTGTCAGCATTACAATCTCCTCCATCACTTCTGGTTTCAGAATGTCTTTAACCTGCAGAGACCGCACACACACATATGCATTATCACACTCATGCATCATGTATTTTTTTTTTTTTAAAACATGCTCTTGATTTTTTTTAACCTGTCTCATTAGAATCATTTATCAGGGAAATATTTAACCATTTACAAATTAAAGGCGGCATAAGATTTATATTTGTATTTTAATTAATTGCATGCAAATACAGTGGAACCTGGACTGCAACAAAGTTATATTTACTTCCTTTTTATTGGTGCATGGTTAAAAATAAATACGATATGGAAATAAGCAAAAGCATACATTCTTTGGAGGAGAATCGGTGTGTTTTGCTTCTCCCTGCTTCCTACCTGGTGTTGCAGTGAAGATTCGTAGCAGTAGAGAACGCTGGTGTCGAACACGAGGACCTTGTGCGCCGACAAAGCCAGTAGGCAGTTCCTTAGCCGGGAAATCACTTCGCGGTCAGAGAGGCTGATGGGCTGCGAGGAGGTGGTGGAGACAAACAAAAACTTGAACAGAACAATAAAAACAGTTCTTAACTTGGGGTGGGGTGGGGGGGCAAACTTGTGTGCTAAGGCCACATTTGATTTTTAAAACTAACAAATGGGTCAGGTCATCGGTAGATAATGTAATAAAAAAATTATTCAAATACGTGTGAAATATAGTTTTCTCTCAATAACCCAATAATTAATTTCCTGATATTTATATTCTATTATTTCAAGAATATTTACAATAAACTATTCAGGAAAAAGTAACATTTCCTGATATTTATATTCTATTATTGAAAAGAATATTTACAATAAACTATTCAGGAAAAAGTAATATAGAAAATAAATAAATATGTTTTAATTAACCCACAATTTAATGATGAAATATATCACTAACCTTGAAAAAAAATTTAATCGATTGATCAGTTTAACACACTAAACATCTCACCTCAAGGCTGGTGTAGAAACCACCAGCCTCTTTTAATCGGTTGATCAGTTTAACACCTAAACGTCTCACCTCAAGGCTGGTGTAGAAACCACCAGCCTCCTCATCCTGCTGTCCCGGAGTGGGATACAGCCACACAAAGCCGTTATTACCCAGGATGATGGAGGCGCCGCACGGGAGGTTATGGAAATGTGTTTTTTGTCTTTTGATGAGAGATGGAGAAATCTGGACGAGCACTCCTTGGCCAAGCTGTGATCAAGGACTGAATCAGAACCACATTCTATGCCAACTTTCAAAAGCCTATTTAGCTGTTTCACTTACTTTCCCGTACTTCAAGCTACGAGTGTGAAGTGACAAGGCGCCATCTGAGAAGACCGATTGCACCTCTGCCTAAAAACACGGAGATACAAATGAATTGGCGAAACATAACGTGAAAAAAATGTTGGGAAGTAAGGCGAAAGAATACACTGATGAGGTCGCCCTCAAGGAGATATTCTCTCATCGTGAGCTCGTCTTCTGCTGATCTTCTCCTCTGGAAGAAAACGGAAACATCCTAATTCAAAACAAAACATCTGTGGCACATGTTTCAGACACAAGGCCAGATCCAGCCCTCCGTATCATTTTATACAGTATGGGTCACGAGTATGCACAGTTTCCTTTGACATCTGTTTAATACTACTTATCCATTATAAAATTAGAAATGGACCAATATGGGCTTTTTGATGCCAATATTAGGGGCTAAAAAAGGCTGATGTCCAATATATTGACCAACAAGTTATTATTATAATATTAGTGAATGAAATAAGAATACAGTCAAGTCAAGCAGCTTTTGTGGCTTTTTTTTAATTTATTTTTTTTATACCAGTTCCCCTCCAGGCAGGTTGACGGAAGACAACAAAAGGATGGAGTCTAGTCGGGAGTTTGTCTCCACCTTCCACCGTTTCTGTTGTACCTATACAAACATATGACAAACTTAATAAATAGGACAATAGTAGAGCATTATATGGGAGCCGTAAGGAGTACGAGAGAATACCTCAGTGATTCTGCCAACTACCACATCACCAACCTCACCATTGAACCTGTCATCCAAAAGAAATCCATAAGATTTTTAAATGTTTATTTTAGTGTCCGGATTGTTCATCATAAACGAGGCAGAGGTTTTATTCCTAAAAATTACTTGTAATATTAAGATGGGCCGCTAAAATCATCCAGTTTGAACACTGCCCCTTATGTAAAGGAAAATGAAAAAAAAAACACAATTGTAATTAATGATTCAATTAAAATGGACTGCATTTAAGTTAGAAACAAAACCGTACCTAAATAGAAATTTAAAAACAAACAGCTCTATAAGATTAAATGTAATACAGTACTAACTGAACCGTACTTGGACGGTCGTTATTTTGTGTCCGCTAGAGGGAGCCCAAGTATCACAAATAGTACGCGAAACAGACAGAGAATCACCTATTCAATTCTTTCAACGCCCTAACCATTTTCAAAAAATAAAACATCTTGAGTGCCAGTCTATTTAAAGCATTCCCATTGTTGGAATTCTAGTTGTTGAACGGCTATTTCCATCAATGATTCAAAGAGTTATAAGGTGTTTTAAAAATTCACTGTTTGTGTACCCATTTTACCTGGTCTTGAGTGGTCTCACACAGATTAATTTGTCCACTCGCTGCACCTCTCCAGCCACAGAAGCCGTCAGTTTCTCCTCATCCACATAAGTACCATGACCCCTACAAACAAATCACAACATGGTATGGCACCACTCTCCCAACGAGTTATCCCTCGTCTGTCCGTTTTCTATACCACTTATCGTCATTAAGGTTGCAAGGGTTACTATCGAATGATCACATAAACTGACCTCATGAAACCAGAGTCTGACGTGATGACATCGCCGGGTACGACCAAGTCTCTCCTATCTCCAGCGGAAAGAGAAAGAGATACTAGTTTTCTAATGTTTGGTAATCTCATATCAGCCGCCATGCTGCCTTGCACGCACAATTTTCTTCTTCGTCCGCGTTTTGTTTCCTGTTTTCACAGAGATCGCCATCTATTGTATTAGTTAAGAGCTGCAACGTTTTTCAAATTCAGTGAAAATGTAATATGGGGGAAAATGCTGTGACACTAGATTGGTTACAAGAAAAAAGAACTCGGGTGTTTCCTGACGTAAAGGTGTTTTTTGAGCAACTTGAAAACAATGGGATTTTTTTTCTCAGAAGCTGTGCGTACTTCCTGTGGAAATGCATCTTTATTTCTGTTTTGAGGGAACACTGGTGTGTGTGCGTGTGGAAGATTTATCGGCAGTCCTAGATCTAAAAGTGTTTTTCAGTTGCTAAAGCAGGGGTGTCGAACTCATTTTTGTCGGGGATGCATTGTCGTTACGGTTTCCCTTGGAACACGACTTTGCAGACAAAAGAACGACCACTAGGTGTCAGCGTTGACAAACCGATTCAACGTGGGGCCACCGAGTGACGTCACATGTCAACAACAGAAACTTCGCCGCCGTGGCCAATAAGCGTCGAGTAAAAGATGGCGTCGGTGAGCAGGCACCGAGGAGTGAGAACCGAGCGTCGCACGGTCAGTAAACACTACTGGAACCAACGCTGTGGCAATTGAAACAACGGCGGTAGCTGACGTTGATCGCCCCCACGTACACCTGGAAGAGAGCTTCGGTGGTGTCGGTGTTCAGTTCCCGATCCGATCGCTCCAGTCTTCGGCCTCGGGGGGAACTCGTCCGCGTCAAGTTGGAAAACCTCCGCTAGCCCGGGTTAGCCGAGTAGCCTCATCCACTCTCTGGATTGTTCTCATGGACATTCATGGACTCGCAACGGCAACAATAACACTTGATGTATTTGTAATTTTTTTTCTCGTTTGAGTTCTCACTTTCTGGCCCAGTATGTGTGAAGTAGTTTAAAAAATACACACTCGCAGTGGAGTAGGAAAAAAAGAGGGCCAGCCGAGCCGGAGCCAGTTGGCCGACATGTATTTCCTCACCGGCTGGCCACGGAGGCTTCTGTGCCCGCTGAGGAGCGCGGAGGAGCCCTTCCACATCCAGCCCAGCTCGCAGCGTTTCTACTTCGCCCTGCTTTCCGAGACGCAGCTCAGCATCTGGTTCAGTCGGGTAAGGGATAGATTACACAAACAACAGACATTTATTTGGCTTGCTTGCATCACCGCTGGTGAGAAATGTAAAGGTATTGCGTAACACACATACTGCGCATTTTACAAGACAAACTGTATAAACGACCTTGTCTGCACAACGGAGCCTTTATTTCAATCATAGTCCACCTGATGAATGTTTTCTGCCAATGCTCAACTCTCCCTGGGGATGTTAAGCCTCAAACCTTGCAACTGGTGCACCAAGCAGTGTAACTGCAAAACTAAACACGTGGTCGAATTCTTTAAAACGGTGACAATCATAAGTGAACTTATATTAACCACTTGCAATTTAATATGTGCATCCATTTTCCGATTGTTTATTGAAGCGACGCATATCCGATATAGAATCGAACCCCGCACCTCTGCACTGTTAGGCCGACGTCCTAACCAGTCGACCACCGAGCCGCCAAAACATTCGTGTATATTAAATCTGATTAGGTTTATTGGAATACATATTAATTTATTCCTTGGTTTTATTTAAAAAAAAGTATCTTCGGATCGCACTTGGCATATTTTTCAACATTGAGCCCTACTAGACACTATGTAAATGAAAAAAGAAAATATACATGTAAATGAAAATAAAGCTTACCAATGAAATATAATTGCCCACATTGCAGGCTTTGCAATTTGAAAATGGTATTCCACTACGTTCCTAGATTTGAATTTGATGACTTATTCAGCCCCAATCTTGCCTAAAGCTCATTTGAAGTGTTGTGGGGAATAAAAAATGGGGATGGAGGACACCCCCACTGAATGCTTTATTTACGCCGATGAACTAATTTGCCTTCAACAATGGATCAGGGTCTTTGTTGATTTCATGAGCACCGCGCCGGATGTGACCATGTTTTGCTTCCCCTCGTTCTTTCCTCGCCAGCAAGTAAAAAGGACAGATGGGACTAGCACATCTGTTCAGTCCATCGAACCGGCTGAGCTCAGCCACCGCTGGGATCTCTTTGGGATCGGGTTCCAAACAAACTGGAGATTCTCTCAGTGTTTTGTTTTGTTTTTTTACGTAGGGTGATGTGTGTATGTACTTTTGTACAGGTACTGTACACTTCAGTTGTATTTAACCTTCAAGTGAAATATATTTAGTTGTAGTTTTTATGAATTGTTTGTTTTTAAACATTTAAATAGGTGCGGTTTTCAGTTATTTGTCATTGGGTGTTCCTCCCTTCGGTCTCCTCTTTTCTCCTCAGTTTATGACGGATTTCTGTGCCCCCAGCATAGACATAAACCGGACAAGTTTGAATGCGCCGTAGTCCAACCTCATTAACCTCCTCAAACTCGGTCGTAAAGTGGGAAACGCGGTAAATAGTTTCATGAAAAGCACTTCTCGGCCTTAAATTTAAAACAGTCAAGTGCAGAAAGTCTTAAGTATGGCGGTAACTGAACATGCCTTGCCCTGTGCTACGTGACCACACATTTAAAAGTTTAATACAACTGGACTGTACTTAAAAAAAGTAGTCTCATGGCCAGGAATCGTTTGCCACTCATGTTTAACTAGATCATTCCCTTCTCAAGCATTCCCTAGATTTGCCTCTGTTTTCCAGCCCCGATTTATAGTTGAACGTCTTTCTGTAATGTCTCTTTTGTTTTCAATCCCCTTAGTCCTGAAGCCAAGCCAGACGAAGCTCAGCCCACAGTCAGTTCATTCAAGGCGTTATGACTAATCCGGTGTCGCACAGTAGCTTAGCCGCGTTCGTAACAAGGTGCGAAGGAAGCAATGACATACCGCGGCATTATTGCAGTATCGCTCAGTTGGTGCTTTGAGATCCAAGTTTGAATCGTTCACTGACCATGCTCAAATCACTCGTACCTAAAATCAGTCTTTCCCATAGAAATGAATGGAAATGCCTTTAATCCGTTCCAGCCTTCACCCAAAAACAACAAAAACATGTTGTAATGTGTATTTTAATGAGAGGAGACTAGCATAATAATACTGTACTTTACAAAAAAAAAAAAACACTATTGTGTTCAACGCATTTCCTAGAAGGTTGAAGCATCGCAATGTCGATGCTATTTCACATTAGCTTTGACCGAGCTGGGCTGACAATCAATTTATACTGGGAGTGGCAACAAAAAAAAGCTTGAAGGTTCTTTTTTGGATGAATTTTTAGCTGTTTGTTTTTAGTTCCACCAAGTCACGTATGTGTATGCTCTGGCACACTATTTTTCAAGCACTTTTTCCCCCACCCCCCTTCTCCATGTCCTCACTCACAGCCCAGTGTTTTGATTGTGAGCTACATCGAGTCTGCCAAGGCAGTGGCACAGTTTGGATTCTACCAGAAAGCCGAATGGAAACCAGACGACTCCATGATAGCCGTGGTGGTAAGTCAAGACTTCGGCATGCTTTGACCTTGCGGTCCTTGTCCGCAGGCTGCGGCGCTTTCAAGTTTGTGAAATTGATTGCGGGTTAATTGTGTCAAAGTGGAGTGCATTCATTCATTTTAATGGAATAAACTATTTTTGGTTTTTTTCCCCTAATGACAATTCCTTCTAATTACATGTAGCAGGGCTATACGGTGACAGCTTATTTAAAACAATAGCATTTTACAACAACAAATGTGTTGTCATCACTTCTCACACAAGGCGCTGACTCAACGAAAAGAGAGTTTGTCACACACCGTCGCAGGGCCCATAAACGCATGATCGCCTTTGTCTGAAGTCCAGCGCATTTCAACAGTGCTCATTTGTCCAATCTTAAGGGGCCATTTGCCATTACCGTGGGGGTGGAGGGGTTATTAGCGCTGGTAATGAACTCGAGAAATTTCAAGTGCAGTGGCCGCTAGTAAACACGTTCAACAATGGCCCGTAAAAGTGCCAAATGGTAGTAAATAGTATGTAACCGTGTCAGTGACTTGTGTTCCTTATCTACCTTGTCACCAGCATATCCAATGCTGTTGTCATCTCTAAGTTAATCGGAGTGAAACAGTTGACCGACAGCAGTGTTTACATTACGCGACAGGTTTGGCCCGTGGATACGTTTCTGAAGAATGTCGAACTTTACACTCTTATTTTATTGAAAGCGTTTCCTTGAAACAGAACAAAACCCAAACAAGTCAAAACACTGTTGTATTTTGAATCTGCCTATTTTCTTTATCTGCTGTTGACTTAAATCTACTAAGTAGATATTTGAAAAAAAATACGCATCTACGCCCTAATGCGGGCTCACCATTATGTATTTTTGCTCTGGCACGGCCGACGATTCATTTTTAGCAAACCAGGCATACTTAAAATGTGCTGTACACATTTACACACGTCTACAGCCTGATGACGATTTTAACAAACATGGCACCGTCCTGAAGTTGATTATTACGTTAAATTCTTCTGGCGCGAACGCAATATTTACAGATTACCGTGTACAGACAACAGCGAATAAAAGTCGCGTTTTTCTTTGCTCATTTCCAATTAAGATGAACAGACAGGCGGTCTTGCCAGCTCCGCTTGTGCATATGAGCCCACGCATATTTATTTATGTAAATTGTTCCAAAGCTCACCAACCCCCGCTGCCATTACCGCCATTTTGGGTCACCCTCGCGGTTCGCCACGCTGAGGTGATGAGCGCTTACCCGTGCAGAATTCGCCTCACCCCTCTGATCATGAAAGATGAGAGCAGAGCACAGTTCTCGAGCATACGTACACACTTATGCAGCGATGTGTATTCCAAATATATCTCTGTATTCCAAACTTTTAACCGGTATCTCAGGTTCCCCCCATGAATCAAGTATGGCTAGTATAAATATTTGTCTTGTGGAGTTCCGTTTAGTGTTAAGCATCTTCATGCATCATCAGATTCATACGGCCTAGATGTGCAGTGTATTGTGAAATGCCATCATGGACATTTGCAATTTACTGTTTTGTTTAGTGGAGACCGTGTATGTTTTTTTTTTTTTTTAAATCAACCAAAATATAGGGTCAAGCTTTTAAAAGGGCTTACAATACGTCACATAAGTTATTCTTTATTTGTATAACGTCATGACACTGCTGATTGTCCAGTTTGGCTGACTTGGATTTGTCCTACTTCTCTTCTGTATGACGCTCAGTTACAGGTGGCCGGGCCCTGAGTTGATGACGGTACCAAGATATGACATTTTGAGGTTACAAACGGGTCCTCGGCTACAGCTGTCATTACTGTTGCAGTATTTGATTTGATTATTTTTTTTTGTTTTTTTAAGGTATGGCCTAGGTAAAAAATTAAGTTGTAACATAACTACTGTGGTAGTATAAGTTAGTGATAGATTTGGGTCACCATAGAAAACAAAATTCTGGATCCCCTACACCGTCATTCCAAGATTGCATTCTCCAAAGTGGTTGTCATTTGCAAAAAATGCGAACGGCAATTAAACTTGGAATCAATCATCGCCTAGCAACCCAAAGCGTTCGACCCCTCGTCTCTCCGTTGACCCCTTTTTTTTTTTTTTTTTTGTCACACTCATGGGCTGAAACACACACACGAATGGATGTTGCGAATATGTCTGAGGAAGGAGGTCAGACCCATTTCCAGCTCAACCCTGGCCAAAAACAACAGGGAGCAGCAGCGGCTGGAGTTTAAAAATACCAGGGAATGCTCGCTCGGCTGGCCATTATTGCGAACGCGGGCGCATCGGGGGAACGCCTTGAGGCGATTCCTTTCGCAAATTGCCCCCAAACATTTGCGCTGGGCTCAAGGTTGGAATGACATTTTTATTTTGGTACTCAGGTCACTGAGGACGCTGTGAGCTCACACCGGAGGCCCCGTAGCCAAAACCGAAGGATTCTCAAGCTGATTATGTGAAGAGACGAAAACGCTGACATTTTACACCCGGGGAGCCTTATTGCCTTTCCTGTTTAACCCTTTCAGGGACAGCGGTTACTACAGTGGACAGCTTATCGTGTTATCAGGTTACAGGGAGCATGAAAAGGTTAATTTCAAAATTGAACATACTTTTATGTACGCTGGAAAAAAAAAAAAAAAAAAAAGAGTTTTAGTTCTCTCATTCCGGGCCAGCTGTTTCCCAGATGTTGTCTTGCCGTTGACACCCTGTGGAGACCTCAAAGCGAACGCATGTCATCGCAGCGAAACCCTTTTGCTAATTCGGCGTACATCTTATGTTTATTAATCTGTACAAGAGCGGCCAACACGTTGGAAGAGGTGGATTTGTTCAAGTGGCCCGGTGTCAAGAAGCAACGCAATACGATCCAGACGCTAAGTACTTTGAATTTCTGGCTGCACATCCTGTTTTTCGGCCCAAACGTTCCTTCCGCGTTATTATACAGTCAGGCAAAAGTACTGCGGAGCATTTTTCATACACCCTGCGATTCTCTCAGCCAGCAAGAATCTGATGCATTTCCACACACGAAGAGGCCCATATTTATTAAAATTAGGCCATATAGAAGATGATTCCAGTATCCCGCCAAGAAAGCAATGGTCGACATTTTTTTTCGTACCGTCTGATTATTTTTCTAAATCATTCAGCCCTCTTCAGGGCGCATATTGCAACGATCTTGTCATACTTTTGACTGTGGCGGTTTATGAGTTCTCTCAAGCTTGGGGAAAGACGACCCGACGGCTGTGTGCTACTTGACATCCTGTAGTCGCAAGCACACATCTGGACTATTTGCAAGCTGGTGCCGTTACACGTCCACATGGCAGAGACTGGCCGTGCTTCTGTTTGTCTGCTTGTGCGAGCGAGCGAGCGGTCACCCATTCGAAAGGCTTCCCGGTTACCGAAACTGGAGGCTTTGACTTTGAACCTCGGCGGTTCTGTGCATCGTCCTCCGGGGCCTGTTCAAACATGCAGAAGTGGGCTCGATGCGTCGTCACTTTTCTGCTGACTTGACCTTTCGGCGCTCATTCTGCTTACAAGACCTCCAGCAAGCAGAGTGGCAGAGCCTGATCCCCATTTTCTCTTTGCGTTTATAACGGTCAGCACTTAATGTGACCGTGGCAACATTGTTGTAAAGTGTTCCTTAAATACTTTAAGGTGACATTTTTGTTTTAATTGTGCTAGCACTGGAACGTGAGCCGTTTCCTGGCACCCACCCACCACCACATTATTTGACAACTTTTTCAAAGTGCTCCCAGACTCCCTCGCGTGTGCTTAATGGGTCCTCGGCAGACAATGGCAACCACTTCCTGTTTGAGTGCATCTGCATGTGTGAATGCGGGAGGGTGTTTCGAAGAGGTGCTACATTATGTGTAACAGCTCTCAGTTGTGGCTTGTTACTTGTTTTTCTGTTTTTTTTTTTTTTTGACTGTATACCGCTGAGAACATATCTAAATACATATTTACATGTTTATTTGAAAGAACCAAACAATTTTGCCTCAAGAAATGCCCCCATGCTAGCGTAATGCTAACCCATTGAAGCGCTAAAACTCAGCATCAACAGTTGTGGTGTTATAACCTCTAAATCCGTTAGATCTGCCAAGTTGCGACGGCGTTCACCTGCGATTCAAATTTCAAATCAAAGCAAAGCTTTTTAGCCGGAGATCGACCACTCATTCAAACTGAACGTTCCCGAACAACGTTATGTGCAATAATTTTAAAGACCAATGAGGATTCACAAATTCCTTTCCAATTTCCAGAACTTTTTGAGTGGGGGAATCTGTTTGGTTCAAGTTCTGCCATGAGAATAACGAAAGGGGGGGGGGGGGGGGGTGGCATGTTTACTGAAGTTCACATGCATGAAAGACGCGTCTGATTTGTTTGGTCAAGCTCAGCAGTTCCAAAGCAACGTTTCCTCTAATAAAAAAGGGGAACTTGTTTTTTTGGATGCATGATCTGTATTTCGACCCTGTGACGCTGTAAGCGAAAGCTAGCAAGGTTTTATGACGGGCAGGAAGCTTACAATACTGCTTTTTAAACGATTGATGGAAAAGCCCACAAAACCACTTGCTGCGGTTGACGTAATGGGCCGACAAAAAAAAAAAAATAATAAGAGAGAGACCCCGTTGGTCACACAATCGAGTATTCAAGCCATGACTCTGCCCCGGGAGGACATTCAATGTCTGCTTCATTTTTTTGCTGCTTCTCTCCGGGTAAATGCGAGCCTGTGAGATCAGGCTTCAGTTATTTGGTTTGGAGCTCACCAGTTTTGATTGTTTTTGCAGACCTCGGTTGACGTCTTGGTCGCATCTCAGGCCAAGGCTGTGCTCCTCTTGATTCAGCTTAGTATTGCTCGCTCGCTTTTTACGCCTTCCCTCCGCTCCTGGTTTTTAATGCGTCTGTGTTAATGTTCGGGTCTCCTACCAGCAGTTCCGTCGCTACGTTGGAAAATTTCTGTGGGAAGAAAAAAAATTGTGATACAATACCGCAAGCCTCTGCGCTAAACATCATAATGTATTGAAAAAAATGTATATATATACGCCCCCTGCTGATTTACTTTATGGTTCTAGAGCCATGTTTCCATTGAGCAGTATCGGCTCGTGAATATTTTTAAACTCGCGCAGTCTACCAAATAGCCAGTCAATGAATCGAGTTCTGGATCAAAATTGTTTTTGCATTCTTAAACGCGATGACATGCATGTGAGCGGCAGCTATTATTATTATCTGTGACTGCTTGTGTGCGGCGAGTGAGTGATGGGGGCGGCCGCGAACCCCTTTGCCAGGTTGAGCTTTACAGTTTGACACGGCACTGTTCTGACCATATTTGCTTAAAAGAAAAATAAAAAAAAAAACAGCCTGAGTTGTTTCTTAGAACGGCTTCCATCGGCTTTACAGATGCCACGTCAGCTTTATGTAGCTTGGTGAAGATATCTATGTCAAAGGTAATTGCAGTCGCTTCATGTTTCCGCCTCTTATTGTTGCCTGAAGGTTAAGATGGAAGGCGGAGTGGCGCGATTGGTCTATCTTTGCGGCGGCTTCGGTGATTCATTAGTCTCTTTTAATAATACAGGCGTTGGTCATTTGATAGGCGGTGCAATATTGCTGTCACTCAGGCGAACCTTAGAACAGGTTTGTGTTTCATCAACGAGGCCTTTAACTTGTTTTCTTGTGACTAACGCGCAGTCCTCGTCATGCCACAGTGAAACGCGCCATTTGAAAGGTTGTTTTGACATAAAGCGGTCTGTTTCCAAAGCAGTATGCAACTCTGAACTCCCGCCCTGCCCCTGTGCGTATATGAAACATGTTTTGGGTTTCATGACACCGGCAGTCTTATCAGTCATGACTTGAAGATACAAGGAACAATTGAATGTCAAATACCACCAAAACCTGATTAAAAATGGATCCGGACGACATGCTCTGACTCAAATGAGCCTCATCCAGTTTGATCATTTCGCGAAAACAAAAAATGCCCCTGAAACCAGTTTTACCACTGAATGTCAATTATGACGTACGAACAAAGGATGGCATCAAAGTGAGAGAATCCTGATCAGGTTTTGACTCGTTTCTGGCCAATTGTGCCCCCCCCCCCCCCATTTTTAATCGTAGTTTCTTGTCTTGCATCATCGTTTGCCCCTTTGGCCTTTCTCTTTCACATTCTGCCAATAATTAATTAACAAGCCGGATGTACCGATGCTACTTTGCTGTCTCAACTTGTTTCTCTCTCCATTTCCAGACCGCTAAAGGCTACATCCTCTTGTTCTCCGTACTGGGCGGTGGGGATGACAAGTACCTCTACGAAGCGATATACCCCAAGTGAGTGCCTGCGTTCACACACAAAATCTGGTACATAGGGGGGGAAAAAAAAACATTCTTGATACCTCTTCTCTTGTTTACATTCCTATATGGCGTATCAGCAAATATGAACAAGTCAGAGCACGAGTTGCACCTTTTGGTTGCTTTTTTTTTTTTTGCACTGGTGACGTGTTTGCATGTGTATGCTTAGAGGCAGCCCCCGTGTGAAGGTAACCCCGGGTTACAAGGAGGAGCAATGTGCCCCCGCTTTGTCGCTGGAGATCAAGAAACCTGTCGATCTGGAGGCCCCCATCACCAGGTAAGGTCCCTTTTTTTTTTTTTTAATTAATCTCTTCTCATCCAGTCATCAGTTACATGAAACAGTGTTAGCATTGCAGTTGTGCTTTATCTGTTCTCTATTTTTGATTTGCACCGCGTGGGAGGAGCTTTGGAGCAATTTGATTCTGAAGTGCGAGTTCAAAAGAAAAAAAAAATGATTAGAGACAAATTTCAATGGAGTCATCAATAGGCTTACTACTTAAGTGAACTATCTACTATGTGGTGTGTTGGAAGCATTAAGAGGAAAGACCACAATCCAGTTAAGTATGTGCCAGCATCGGCGGGGTTACTGATTAAAAGCAGGAGCATCTGTTCTGTCAGATACACGTGAGAACAAAGCTGTTTTTTTTTTTTTTTTCACCCTCATCGCTCTGACTTGTTCTTTTGCTGCTTTACATAAGATGACGATTGTCAAATTCATGGTTAAAAGACATTGGAAACCCGTTGTATTGTCAGTGTTTTCTGCAGCTCGCTTTTTCTTTGTGCCTACCAAGCATCCGCCTTGTTTCGTTGATGGACAAGAGCTGTCACTTCATGGCTCCTCAAGGCCTTTTTGTTGATTGCCTGTTCATCGCCATCCTCTCCTCCGCGGGATTCATTTGACAGCCGTTAGAAACTGTCGCCGTGGCACTGACAAGTGCTCTTTTAGCGTTTCGCCGGGGCAGCTTGCTTGTGTGGGCATTGAGTGGGTGTGATTATTATTTTGTATTTTTGCTGAAACTAGCAAGGCAAAAAAAAAAAAAAAAAAAAAAAAAAAAAAGAATACCTCCCCCACATAGTTCTATTCATGCTTCAATCCTGTTCAGAAGACGACGAATCGCTTCACAGATGTACTCAAGAGGCCCTTTTTTTTGGACAACAGTGCAAAAAGATTTTGTCAGTTAAAAAATAATAGATACAATACAATACAATACAATGCATTGTATTGTACTGATAAGTTATTAGTAAACTTGTTTCATATCCCTCATGCCAATTACATAACCCTGTATTCTGTTTCGCTACTTCCAAACCATTCATCCGATCTAATCATTTGCCCTTTGTCCTCCCGCAAGTCTCCAGTCCCTCCAGGACGAGCTGCTGGTGTGCACAGCGGACGGCTACCTCCACGTGCTGCACTGGGACGGCCTGGGCGGCAACGGACGCAAAACCATCTGCCTCACCGCCGTCCCATTCTCACTCGACCTGCAGTCTGCCCGAGGTGCGACGAGGCCGCGCACACCGGCGTTTTTCCTCTCAGGGCTCGAAAATAAGTTTTAGAAACACCAAACTGTACCTGAATATGTGTGTGTGCGCTGGTGTGTGTAGGCGGCCCATCTCTGGACCTGGAAGGTGTTCACATCCGCTGCGTGGAGTACTGCGAGACGCTGGACGGCTTCGCTGTGGTGCTCAGCGACGGCCGCCTGGGCTTCATCACGCCACTCAGCAGCACCATCACTGCGGACGTAAGAACGCCCGGAGTTAGATTCGGCGCTGTGAAAAGAATTATTTGCCCCCCTTTCCTGACCTCTGCGTTAGTTGCATATACATCACACGCAAGGGTTTCAGTTACTCCAGCTAGTTTGAATGTCACGCAGAGACAACCCAAGGAAATACAAAATGCAGTTTTCTAAATGGCAATTTCATTTAGCAAGGCACAAAAAAAAAATCCAAATCTACCTGTCCCTAGGTGAAACTGAACCTACTAATGGATTGACTTGCTGATGTGAATTAAATCCCGAAGGCAACTAGCATGGTGTCTTGAATAAACGTTTCCTGCGTGTCCAGCAGCTGCAGGGCGTCTGGGCCGCAGATGTGAGCGACGGCACCTGCGTGGCCGTCAACAACAAATACAGGCTGATGGCGTTTGGCTGCGCCAGGTAGGTGGCTGGGTGCGAGTCTGTGCTCGTGGGTTTGTGTGTGTGAACAATTGAGTGAGCGTGAGCGCTTGTGTTGTTCGAGTCGCGTCAGTGAGTGCGCACGTGTGCCACAACGCGACGCCGGCTCGAGAAGCATTCGCACGTTTGCTTGCGTGCCATAGAGGGCGATTGTTGAGCGTCCGGTGTGAGAATGTGTCAGGCCATGTTTGCCCAGGCTGCCTAGTGTGTGCTTGTCAGAAACATGTCTGTAAGTACCGGACGTCAGCCACCGAATCAGGGCTTCTTTGAGTAGGCGGCTGTTGTTTAAAAAAGATAAATGAATAGAAACATTAGGCAGAATGAATATATACTTTTTAAAAATAATTTAAGGGAAAATGTTTTTGAATGAATGCAACAAATGTTACAGTTCACTTGCTCATGCAAACGCTCAGCGGGCTTTAAAAGAACGGCCACACCATGACCACCCCTGATACAGATGTTGACTATTTCTCTTATTGTGCTCTCTTTTTTTCCCCCAGCGGCTCGGTGCTGGTTTACATGATCGACACTACAACTGGATCTATGCAGCTCTCGCACAAACTGGAGCTGACCCCAAAACACTACCCTGGTATGTCACGTGGTTACTTCTTTAAATCTCATGAAACCAAAAGCAGTCAAATGATGTCACAGCTCCCCCTTGCGGGACAATCGTTTCACTCAGCCAAATGTTAAAAAATTTATATTCTGCCTTTTTTTGGAATGCTTATGATGAAGAAGTGTTTTTCAAAATAAATCATGATTTTTAAAATGTTGGATTTTTTTTTTTAATCAACAGATATCTACAACAAGACGGGTCCAGTGAAACTCATCTGCTGGTCGCCCGACTATAGCGTCGCCATGGTGACATGGGAGTGTGGCGGTCTATCGCTGTGGAGCGTCTTTGGCGCCCAGCTCATCTGCACGCTGGGAGAGGACTTTGCGTGAGTGGACGCGCATCAACGCGAACCAAAGAAAAACAAAATCCTGAATGTGTACTTTCTATGCTCTTGCACAGGTATCGATCTGATGGCACCAAGAAGGATCCCCTTAAAATCAGCTCCATGGTTTGTGCTCTGGGAAATGTTTATTCACTGCATTTTTATTTTATTTTATTTTTTTTAAAGATTAAATGTGTTGCAGAGCTGGGGAGCAGAGGGCTACCACCTGTGGGTGCTGCCCGCCAAGCAGACGAGGAGGAGGACACATGAGGAGGAGCAAAAAGTAGAAATGGCAGAGGAGGCGACGGTGACCTCACCCGTCCAGTCGTCCCCACAGGCCGGCATCTTGCAGTTTCACTTCATCAAGAGCGCCCTCACCGTCAACCCCTGCACGGTGAGCCGACCCACCGCCAAACGTATACCCCCCGCCACCACCACCACCTCTGTGACAGTACTAAAGATGTTGTTGTTTATTAGAGTAACCAGGAGCAGGTGCTGCTGCACGGCGAGGACCGCCTCTACTTAACCTGCGGTGACCAAGCGCAGGCCAACAGCAGCTCTGACATGCAGCAGCAGCAGCAGCACACGCGTTTGAACCCTCACGACGACAGCCCCCTGCACCATCACCACCACCACCACCTCCACCACCACCACCTCAACTCCCCCCTATCTCAGGGACTCAGCACTTTACTGGGACACAAGCACTGGCACGTGGTCCAGGTAGGGTTGCACTGTATTCGGCATTTCACATTGTGACTTTGACAGCGGTCCACAACCTGTTGTGTGCCTCGGAGTAGTTTCACATTTAGCAAGATCCTGATATGCCGATATAGAAGGGAATAAATACAAGCACCTTTCCTCACCGCGACACTGCATGTTCTTGTTGTTTGAATGGCCACATCATCTTCCGCGTTGCCAGAAATATGGCTCCCCTTGCGGTTTTGAAAAATGGCTTCAAAAGAAGGGCTACAGCACATGCAGGTTTTACATGACTTCAGCATCAATATAGATTTTTTTCCCCCTTAAAAGCAGCAAAAACAACACCACGAGCATCGTTGTATTCTCGTGTGCGTGTGTGACCCGTTTCGACTCTGATAAAAAAAAAATTGACAGCCCTTCTCTTTGCTTTTACCTCCAGATTCATAGCACATACTTAGAGAGCAACTGGCCAATACGGGTAAGTGGCCGAGATGCCACCACTGCATATTCACTTGTAAAATATGCACAATCAAATCTCCTGTGTCTACCTGTGTGCAGTTTGCAGCCATAGACACAGCAGGGCAGTGCATGGCTGTCGCGGGAAGGCGGGGCTTTGCACACTATTCCTTGTATACCCGGAAATGGAAACTGTTTGGAAACATCACTCAGGTATGTTCGGCTGCAATAATAATAATAATAATAATAATAGTAATTACAGCAGGACCGTTGGTAATTTGAGCTCAGCTAACAGAGACAGACAAGTAATTTTACTTCTTCCCGAGCCACAATTTGAGGTACCTAAGGACCTAATGTAACGTTTGTTGTTCCCTAAAAGGAGCAGAACATGACAGTGACAGGCGGTCTGGCTTGGTGGAATGACTTTGTGGTGGTGGCTTGTTACAATTTCATTGACCAGCAAGAGCAGGTGAGACATCAGCATCACTCACCACTCTTGATGGCCTGTGCAAAATCCTTTCGCGAGCTGCCCACGTGTGTAACGTTGGTCCCGTGTTGTCGCCTCCAAGCTGAGGCTGTATCAGCGCTCGTCCAACCTGGATAACGCCTTTGCGTTAGTCACCAAACTGCACTCTGACACGCTGCTGCTCAACGTTTTCCGGGACATGGTCATCCTCTTCAGAGCCGACTGCTCCATCTGCCTCTACAGCATTGAGAGGAGGAGCGACAGGTAGGATACGTCGTTACTTCATCAAAAGCTTTCCCAAGGTTTATTGAGCCACGGTACATAATTTCACAGCACCCCCCACCATTTTTTTCCCCTTTCTAATAATGATTAGCGGCCCCTGTATGGTAATTAATGCACAATGTTATGTTTCAGCCCAAACCCGTCGGTCAGTGTGGAACTGCTGCAGGAAGTGTCCATGTCCCGCTACATCCCTCACCCCGCCCTGGTGGTCTCCGTCACGCTCACCTCCGTGCGCACTGAGACGGGCATCGCGCTGAAAGCCCCGCAGCAGGTGACCCCCACACACACATACACGAACCCGGACACCCGGACACAGTGAAGAACAGTCCTCTCTATGTATTTTGCTATGTGGGTCCACTCAGGCCTGCATGGCGGAGAGCATCATGTTGAATCTGGCCGGCCAGTTGATCATGCTACAGAGGGACCGTTCCGGGCCTCAGGTACGAGAGAAGGAGACGCCCGTCAACAACAAGAAGCTGGTGAGAATTTTGTCCGAGCTCAGATCTGTGAAAGATTATCCTGAGCGACTATCCTGAGGCATGAGGTGGAGGAAGTCATATGTCCTCCGTTGATGTGCTCACATAATGGTTGGGTGGGCAATTTTAGAAATCCTTTAATGTGTAGTCAACATTTTGAGGAAGAGACTTTTTTTTTCTTGTTTTGTCAAAAGAGATTGCCGATTGTGTTCTGGCTTCTCCCGCTTAGCTACCGTTCTGCCCGCCGGTGGTGCTGGCCCAGTGCGTGGAGAACGTGTGGACCACCTGTCGCTCGGACAGGAAGAAGCGCCACCTGCTGGAGGCTTTGTGGCTCTCCTGCGGCGAAGCGGGCATGAAGGTGTGGATGCCGCTGTTCCCGCGAGACCATCGCAAGCCCCACTCCTTCCTGTCGCGCCGCATCATGCTCCCCTTTCACATTAACATTTACCCGCTGGCCGTCCTGTTCGAGGACGCGCTGGTGCTGGGGGCCACCAATGAGACGGTGCTGTACGACGGGCTGCAGGGGTCCTCCGAGCCGCTGGAGGCTCTCTTTCCTTTTTGCACGGTGGAGAGGACCTCGCAGATCTACCTGCACCACATTCTCAGGCAGCTGCTGGTTCGCAACCTGGGTGAACAAGTACGTGGAGAAAACAAAACATTTGTATCTCGGCCATGCATGTCAGTGACTTCCCGATTCATGACATCAGCGAACTTAACCGGCCCCTTTTTTTTTTATTTTTCTTAACCATCCTGATTTCGCAATTGATTTGTTTCCTCCCGGCCCCGCAGGCGCTGATGCTGGCTCAGTCGTGCGCCTCGCTGCCATATTTCCCTCACGTCATGGAGCTGATGGTGCACGTGGTGCTGGAAGAGGAGGCTACGTCGCGGGAGCCCATCCCCGACCCGCTGCTGCCCACCGTGGCCAAGTTCATCACAGAGTTCCCCCTCTTCCTCCAGACCATCGTGCACTGCGCCCGCAAGACGGAGTACGCCCTGTGGAACTATCTGTTCGCCGCCGTGGGGAACCCCAAGGATCTTTTTGAAGAATGCCTCATGGCTCAAGACCTGGACACAGCCGCCTCTTACTTGATCATACTGCAGGTATGAGGAGACGTGTGTCACGAAATGTGCAGAATGTCCTTAAGTCAGGACTGGGCGCTATGGCCTTAAAATAAACTCTTTGACTTTTTTTCCCGCACAAAAACAAGATTCCAGACTGTAATTTTTTTTTTAATGCTCTATAAAATAAAATTGAGATCTGAAATGGATTAATCGCCCAGCCCAACTGAGTGGTGTTCCTTGCCTTTGAAGAATATGGAGGTTCCGGCCGTGAGCAGACAGCACGCCACCCTCCTCTTCAACACGGCGCTAGAGCAAGGCAAGTGGGACCTCTGCCGTCACATGATCCGTTTCCTGAAAGCCATTGGTTCAGGGGAGATGGAGACGCCACCCCCAACGCCCACCACACAAGTACGAATGCCACCTGTGACACACACACACACACACACACACACACACACACACACACACACACACACACACACACACACACACACTCATGCGTGCTGAGCCCACCAATAGTTGATTTCATCAAGCCCATCCCAGGGTTATAATAGTTTGGGATTTGTCGATATAGTGAGTTTTAATTCGTTTTTAGAGCAGGTTTGTGCATTTTTATTTTTGGGGAAAATGCATCGTTTCTATTTTTTTTAGTTTCGGTGTTTTCTTTATTTATTTATTTATTTTTAAATATGGCGTACTTGTCAAGTGTGCCATTAAAATAATAATAAACAAAAAGGTCACTAAGTATTGTGCAAGAAAGTAAACTTCCTTCTTCTGTTCCACATGCAGCGAGACCAAAATAAATACCTTTTAAAAACAACTCCTGTAGTGTATTTGCTGTCCAAGAGGAAAAACAAGTTAGCTTCACAAATGTAAGATTAAGCCTTGGTCCATCCATACACCCACCCAACAAACAGACGGGCTCCAAAATGTACCAAGATGGAAGCAAAACCAAACCGTGCCACCATACTCTGTGTTTTTTTTACAGGAGCCCAGTTCAACCGGCGGGTTTGAGTTTTTCCGAAATCGCAGTATCAGTTTGTCTCAGTCTGCTGAGTCGGTGGCTACGGGCAAGTTCAGCTTACAGAAGACCTTCAGCATGCCCGCCGGACCTTCCAGTAAAGGGTAGGAATGCAGCGCACGACAATCATGATAACGAGATGTACACGCACTGATTTTGAACATCAAAAGCACGATTTTCAATGAATGCTCCAACCTCCTTTTCTGCTTCCCGTCAGACGGGACGGCGAGTGCGCCGAGAACATGTACATCGACATGATGCTGTGGCGCCACGCCCGCCGCCTTCTGGAGCAGGTGCGCCTCCGCGACCTGGGCTGCTTCTCGGCCCAGCTGGGCTTCGAGCTCATCGGCTGGCTGTGCCGCGAGCGCAACCGCGTGGCCCGCGTGGACGACTACGTCTTGGCCCTAAAGAGACTCCATAAGGACTTCCTGTGGCCGTTCCCGGTCATTCCCGTGGCGAACCTCAGCTCGCCGCTAAAGAACGGACGCTGTCGCCCCGGTGAGATTCATCAGAAAATCAGATGGAAAGAACAAATGTGACTTCCATCCAACTCAAACTGTTTTTTTTTTTTTTTTTTATTTCATCCTGTGGGTTTTTGCAGGGCTGAACACCGGGTAAGGACTTCCTGTGGCCGTTCCCGGTCATTCCCGTGGCGAACCTCAGCTCGCCGCTAAAGAACGGACGCTGTCGCCCCGGTGAGATTCATCAGAAAATCAGATGGAAAGAACAAATGTGACTTCCATCCAACTCAAACTGTTTTTTTTTTTTTTTTTTACTTCATCCTGTGTGTTTTTGCAGTGCTGAGCACGCGGCTCCTCAAGTCCCAATCTGCCGACAGCCTGCTGAACAGCAACATGGACACGGTGTCCCCTCCCGCGGCTCCCGCCGACCACGCCTGGATGGACGGCCTGAGCCAGAGGAGCAAAGACATGGACGCCGCCTCCTCCGCCGCATCCACCCGACACTCGCCACAGACGCACGACGCCTTCCTGTCGCTGCTCACCAACAAGGGTCTGCTCCTCACACGGATCTCGCTCAATGCAGCATTGACCGCTGCTAAGGCCCAAATGCTAACAAAAGTCCGGGGCTTTTTTCATTATGTCCATCGGAAATAATGAAAAGTGAATTGTACATCTTTAGGTTAAATCAAAAGCCTGTTGAAGATTTACAAAATCTAACGTGATAGTTTCCCAAAATGTATTTTGTCTAGTATAAACAAGAAAAAGGACTCACGGTTTGAACCTGTCTCCTCCCCCCCTCTCAGCGGAGGAGTACAGCATCGGCTCGGCCACAGACCTGACGGAGAGCAGCTCGGTGGTGGACGGCGATTGGACCATGGTTGACGAGAACTCGTCCACGTTGAGCCTGAGCCAGGCCGAGCTGGAGCACATCTCCATGGAGCTGGCCAACAAAGGGCCGCACAAGTCACAGGTGCAGCTCAGGTAAGGCCAGACGGCCGCCTCGCCTCGCCTTGCCTCGCCTCGTTGGAAGAAGGCTCTTCAACGGCATCCTTTCAGGTACCTGCTGCATGTCTTCATGGAGGCGGGCTGCCTGGAGTGGTGCGTCATCATCGGCTTGATACTGCGCGACGCCAATGTCATCAAGCAGGCCATCGGGTTCCTGGCCAGTCCCGAAGTTCCCGTCGAAACCGTGCAGAGCGTACGGAGCGGACTATTGGCTGTGGATGCCTGGACCTCCACTGACTGGTGAGTGATCGTTTTACCATTAACATTTCATTTGTAGATTCTGAATTGTGTCTACAAATGTAACTGGCACGATACCTCTGCAGCTTGGGCTACAAAGCGTTCCTCGGCGTGATCCAACCTCATCTGCAGCAGCTGATGGCGTCCGCGGCAGCCGAGCAAGTGCAGCCGGAGGCCTTTCAGCCTTCGGCCTGCCAAAGCGCCAAGCTCAGCGTCGGCGAGATCCCGGGGGGCGTCACCTCGGCCCGTCCTGAGGACGGCGGCGGTGGAAGGTGCGCGGCCGCTGCACCCCTGGGACTACTGGCGCTCCCCTCTCTGGAGTCCAAACCAGTCACAGAGGACCGAGCCCCCGATCAGATGGAGGAGCGGGTAGAGGAGGAGGGCGCCTATGACTGTACCTTGTCCTGAACCCATTTGAGCTTCTTATTCCACTCAGTATTATCAACCCATGTGGGCAGTGAATTCATTTCCAACGTGGGGAGTGAATTTGTTTCCGACATAAGGAAATGAATTCCTTTCTGACGGCTTCTATCCCCCACACCCCCAAGACTATGTAAAGTGCCGTCAGAGTGGAAATAACCCTCACAAATAACAAAAAGTGACGTTTCATACTTTCATACCTCATAACAGTTTTAAACATTATTTTTTCACGGATGTTATTTTTCTACACAACCAAATCATGATGTATGGATTCTTACACACATATATATTCAAAAAAGGAAAAGTAACATTTCTACAGTGCATCTGCTGGACACTCTAAAATTGTTGCTTTTACCACATCGTTTTGTGCATGGAGTAAATTTTATGGTATTGGTCAACATTTATGAGGATTATTTATTGTAATTATGGTAGTATCATCATTTCTGAATCCTTGTTTTAATTCCAACAAAATTTTTGTTTTTTGTTTGTTTGTTTTTTAAGTTCATCCAGGTGGTATACTAGCGTCAGTATTATATTGTGCAATGTATCCAAATGTTACTCGGCTCATGTGTTTGGCTTCTCGTTTTTACTTTTCGACCAAATGCCACCCTGTTGAGTGGACGGTGACTGTTTATTCGCGACACAAACAGAAAACGGTTGGAGCGGTGCGACGCTTTACTTGAAAAGGAAAAAAATGCTGACTTGACGAACCAAAGACATTTTTTGTGTGTTTTGTTCAGATGCCTTCTTTTTTTTTTTTTTTTTTTAACTCTTTTCGATGCTGGTACCGGACACAACATTAGGGACACCTGCACCATTAAATAGGATCCAATACAAACTCGGAGCTGTCGACTGAGCGTATCCGGCTTCTTTCGCCAAGTCATTAGCAAGCTACATTCGGACTAGCGCTATATTAATTAAGTTTTTATACACATTCAAAATAAATATCTGGTAATTGCTACAGCCTCAATAATAAACCCAAAGCGTCGGTGTACCCAATATGTACGTCTCTTTGAGGTACTGAAACCCTAACAGTGTACATGTACAGTACTAAATACTGTACAAGTATTCTACTAATACGACACAGTAGACATGCGAAGTGCTGTGAAGACAAGCTCACTTGTATTTTCCTTTTCTACGGGTGTTTCTACTTTTTTTTTTTTTTTTTTGCTTGTACATAGACCAATAAATTATTTTACAAAAAGGCTTTGCTTACCTTAATTGGTGTTAAGTAATGGGGGCTCGTTCTTGGTGGCGTAAACGAACAAAAAAGTTCAAAAATGCAGTGTCTCGCTATTCATCTAGTTCGGGGGTCGGCATGCGCATGCGGCTCTTTAGCGCCGCCCTAGTGGCTCCCTCTAGCTTTTTCAAAAATGTTCGAAAATTGAGTAAAACGGGGGAGGTAAATATATTTTTTGTTTAAATGTGGTTTCTGTAAGAGAACAAACATGACACAAACATTCTTAACGTTTTCCAATGTTGTAAAAATGTGCAGAAAAAAAATTACATTTCTGTCAACGAGGACTGCGTCACAGGCTGCGACACGTTTCAATTAGCAGGGCGGGAGTCAGGTGCCTGTTGTTAAAAAAAAAAAAAAAAAAATACCCCACAGCGTTTCATATACAATTCATCGAGGGTACTAGCAAGGAATGGGAATGTGGAGGGCCGAGAGAAGCATTTTTAAAAAGTACACGTGTGCTACGATAGTTAACACGCTGCAAAAGTGCGTCCCATCCCATGCCTCGTTCATTTTAGCGGCCATAATGGCTGTAGTTAATCACATTCGCACGTGTGCAGTAAACGGTCGATCGAAAAAAAAAGGGGGTTGATCGATAAGTAGATCTTCGGTCAAAAAAGGTTGTGCAGCCCTGCTCTTCAGATGCACTGCAGGGGGGATTAATCATTAAGACTCATTGTGTATTTGTAGCCAACTTATAGTCATTTGATGGTAGGCTAATATTGATACATATAGCATTGTGTTGCCTTCATTATAAGGCTTTTAAATTTCTGTGGCTCCAGACATTTTTTGGGGGGTCCAATATGGCTCTTGAAACATTTTGGTTTGCCGACCCCTGATCTAACTCATTGTAATTAAGATTTGTAATTCTTGAAAATGTTTTCCAAATTTTCAATTTTAAGTCACTGAAAATCATGTATCGGATACTGTATTGCGCTACACTGCTATAAGAAGAACTAAAATTGAATGGTTCAAAAGTAAAACATGGGGGAAGGTGATATAAATGCGAGGACATCATTTGTGTATTTTTTTTTTTTTAATTACAAGTGCTTGTTTCATTCAAGCGTTATGTAAAATCATCAGTACAATATTAAACACATCCCAAAGCGACAATCCCAACAGTCCATTGCCACTCAAAACTGCATTTTTTTGTCACAATCAAAAACCAGAAACAAACAGCAGTTAGCGGTCAAGTGTCAAATCCATCAGCCCCCGCACCCCCAAAAAATTTCAAATGGTGGAGGAGGTGATGAGGGTCGGGAAAGAAACATGGAAAAGGCCATGGAAGCATAAGAACAAAGGTAAACAAAGACTAAAAACCAAAAGTGGCTTTTCAAAGTTTGAACTTGGAGAAAAAAAATGGTTAAGACATTTGGATATGGCTCCCACATAGTACTTTTTGTGTGTTGTGTGTTCATTTGTGTCACCCCCCCCCCAAAAAAAAATATAAACATGTTTGCCTTGAATGCAGTTTGTTATCTTTAATGTAATTTCAGCAAATTAAAAAAAATCAGTTAAGTTCTTATTGAGGACCACATTTTTTAGTCTAAAGTAAAAAAAAAAAAAAAAAGCCATAAATATTACATTATCCGCTTTAACCGTTCATGTAGCTTTTTACTGGGACACGCCACCTGCCTTTTGGCCTCCGACCGCCGTCCTAATACGTTTGTCCTCCTCAGTGGGGTGCCCATTTTGGCAGTCAAACTGCTTGCAGGGTGCCGTGAGTGCAAAACATCTGTTTGCGCGCGCGAATGCGTGCGAGATCTGTTTGTGTACGTGTAACATGCTCGTGTGTGTGTGATGAGATGCGTGACGGACAAGTGTCGTTGTGATGTTGATGAACGGGATGGTTCCAAGTCCGAACAGTGTAGTCAGTCTTGGTTGTTCGGTGAACGTAATGCATACAGACTAGTGTGACTACATTTTGTTATTGCAGTTTTTGCATGATATTTATCGTGGTGTTTGATAGATTTAAAAATCCATCCCTCTTTTGAAAACTTATTCGGAACACTAATCTTGAATCCTATAAACTTGTACAAACCCTAATTTGAAACCCCAATCCTCACTTCAAACCTTCACTTGAAAACCGAATCCCAACCTCAAACCTTAATTGAAAACCTGAATCCTGACTTCAAAACCTAATTTGCAACTCTAATCCTTTTGCAATCCTGACTTTAAACCCTAATTTGAAACCCTAATCTTGACTTCACGCCCAACTTTGAAACCATAAACCACATATTTTTTAACGGATCATTTATGATTCCTGTGATGGCCAGGCCTGGTAAATAGCAACCAGTTCTTGTTATTGTTCGTGTTACCGTGGCGATATCGGATGACCGCCTGACCGCAGCGTTGTTGTGTTTCCCCCCCCATCTCGACATTTCAAAGATGACAACAAACACAAAATGGATTTCACAGCTTGATATTTTTCAGAACTTCCTCTCATTTCTGCTTGAATTAGGTTTCCTTTAGCTTAGAGGCTAGCTTCATCCAGTGGTGATTGGACAAAAGTGGGAAATGGGAAAAAAAAACTTTCCAGTTTCAAAGATAATTTAAAGTCGATAGCGGTGGAGAGGAGAGGTAGCATCATCAACATCAGCATGCTTCTTCATTTCAAACCCCAACCCTGCATTAAATCCCAATTTCAACGCCTAATTTGGTCTCTCCGCAGGCCAATTTGAACGCCTCAAATCAAGATTCGAAGCCGACTCTGAATCCGTAAGCGGTGAATAGGGGTTGAGTGCAGTGCTGATAAGTGTACTGTATGCTGATGAAGAGGAAGAGGTAGCATGTTAAGCACGTTAGCATGTGAGGGGGAGGGGGAGAAAAAAGGCACCACAGATTAGAGATCAACAAAATAAATGTGTTTGCTCCGACTTGCTACTGACACAGTGATACTGGGGGTCTCTCAGGCTGCGTGTGTGTGTGTGTGTGTGTGTGTGTGTGTGTGCGTGTGTGTGTGTGTGTGTGTGTGTGTGTGTTTGTGTGTGTAAAGGCAGGGTGAACCAGTGTCGGTGCCTCAGTATCGGTACAAGTCATAAGTGCTGACCCAGGACGAGGGGAAGGCCCACGAGGGGAAGCGGCTCAGGAGTTCCTCCAGCCGAGGCGTCTTCTGGTCCTCGCCAAAGAAGTAGTGGGTGGAGATGGCCACCGAGATCATCCCATCAGGGCCCGACGCTGACGGCGGCCTGTCTCGGGGCGGCTGGAACAGAACAAGGCCGCAGTCAAGTGTGTTTGTGTGCCAAGGTGTGGTATGCTAGCTAATCTCAAATACAATATTGAATCTAGTTGTGATTCTGTGTATGCTGAAGTCATGGTGTTGATGCTTTATGATGCTCTCTAGCTTTCGTGCATTGTCGCCATCTAGTGGCATCTATATGCAATTACAACCCACACTTCTGGGAGGCGCTAATTTTTACTTTTTTTTGCAATTGTATTTGTTTCGCTGATCGTCTCCGAAAGCTGAGTGATGCCGAATGCTGTCTGCGCTACCTGTATTTCAAACCAGAACGTCCATGTGGGCGCGTCCAAGCCGTGCGAGTAGAAGACAAAGTACTCGCCGCTCAGGTCAAACTGTGGCGTTCCGTCTCCGAAGGACCACGTGGAAAGACTGGCTCCGGGGTGAGGCATCAAGTAGAGCGACATGTGACTTGGCCCTGGTTGGCACACAAAATTAGGGGATGGCCCATAGCAGAGGGGGTGTGGGGTTGGGGTGTCACAGGGACGCTCTTTACCTTTGACACTGAACGTCATCTTGACGGTCCCCCAGCCGGTCTCCTCCTTTGACACCAGGCGGAAGTCCACCGGGGAGCTCGGAGAAACGTCGGGAGCGGGGAGGTACCAGTTCTTCCTGCCGAAAAGTCGCAGCGTTAAAAACGACGGGACGGGACGGGACGGGACGGGACGGCACGGTGACGCACTTGCTGAGGAACTTGACGGGCAGGAACCAGGGGAAGCCGCAGAAGGGGCGGTCCTCGCGGCAATTGGTGCGCACGCCGTCGTGGATCTGGGGCACGTGCGGCGTGACGTGCTGCATGCCCGTGTAGTCGAAGCTGTTGATCCACACGCCCGAATCGCGCGCCTCCACGTGTCCGTGCACGTCGTAGAAAGTGCGCGTGGTGTGCTGGGGAGCAAGGAGAGCGAGAAACGTTCCATACTCGAAAAGGTATTTTGAAACCTGAACCTTCTCTATTTTGAAATTCTCATTAACAATCTTACTTGGAAATTCTTAGCCTTGAAGCCCTCATTTTGAAGCCCTAACCTTGGTTTGAATCACCAAATAAAATGTAACTTCAAGCAAGCTTCAGTGTTTCGAAACTTTAACCCGACTGTGACCCCAGATAGGAACCTTAACCGTATTTTGAAATCTATCTTGTCTTGAAATCCTAATCATGTCTTGAATCCATATTTTGAACCCCTTAACCCTCCTGGAAACCAAACCTTATAACCCTTAACCTCAGTTTTGAAAATGTAATTTTAAATGATTTTGAAACCCTCACCCGGTCTTCAAAAGCCTAAACCAGGCTGGAAACCTTCATTTGAAATCATAAACTTGTCTTCAAACCCTAATTTGAAACCATAAACCTTGTCTTGAGCCCGACTTAACTTTGCAAATCGTACTTGGAATTACTGAGCCTGATTCAAAGGCTCACATTTTAAACCCTAAACCGATTTCAAAACCCCACTTTTCACGTGCGTGCGTCCCAAAACAAACCTGCAGGAAGACCCTCTTGGGGCGCGGGCGATCTGGACTTCCCGAATAGGGGAAGAGCAGGCCGCTGGACACCAGCAGGAAGACGATCGTGAAGACGGAGCCCGTGCCCGCCAGAAACCACTTGGTGCTCCTCACCAAGTAGATAAAATGGAGCTGCCATCGAAACGAGATTTACAAATGACAACAAAACTGGTGCAGAAGAGGCTTCAGGGTCGGCGGGGAAAAAATGGACACTCACGAAAAAGGAAGAGAGGAAAACAGTTGCGATAGTAACCAGGGCGGCCAGGACCACCTCGGGGGGGATCTCGGTGCCGCTACGGCCCATGATGGGCGTGAAGATCTCGAAGACCACCCAAATAAGGAACATGATGTGCAGGTAGGGCAAAGCCAGGCCCGCCAGGTAGAGGACGCTGTACTTGAGCGACGCCCCTGCGCCAGTCACAACAACAAAACTCATTCAGGACAGAATCTTCTGGATATCACCGTCGGTTGCGGCTAGGTGTAGAAATGTGACCGACCTCTGTTCTTGAACTCGTTGGCGAGCAGCAGCTTGGTGAGCAACGGGAAGGCCACCATGAGCATGGGGACGTAGGCCGAGCAGAGACCGCGGTAGGTCATCCACAGCAGGCTACAGCACCAGAGCAGCAGGCTCACGTCCAAGTAAAGATCACCCAGCTCAACCATGCGCACGCCCTGAAACCAAACGCAGCTCGAGTTGAACTTTTCTTAGTGATTTACGCTAGCTCGGAATGACCGGTAAGCTCACCCTGTAATAAAGGTTCTTGGCCAGCGTGTGCACCAGCACCATCTTGCCGGTGGCGACGGACCCATAGAGGCACACGGAGGCGTAGAAATGGGTGTACCAGAACATGGAGCGGCCCAGCAGCGTCACCAGCACGGCCACGATCAGAACAGACAGGAAGGCGACCAACCAGCCCAGCAGGGCCACAACTGTGGCGCATGCCAAGTTTCGAACGTAGCGCCCACCTGTGGCACAAAGGTGCAATCCATGAAAATAGTTGCTGCGTTTCATGGCGAGTCCTCAAGCTTTGATGCACACACTCAAAACTTTTTCACAATTTACAACCGACAGTCCAAACGTGTCTTCATGCTCATGCTGAGACCCGATAACACAATAATAATCATGACGTGTTATTTGAAACCCACCGCGGTTGCCTGGCTGAGAGGCTTTCCTGGCCAGATAGATGAAGGTTGCCACGGCAACCATGTAATTGAGGATGGTGCCGACGCGAGCCGGGTACGCCACCACAACCATGCCGAGCACGTCAAAGAACACCATGTTGCCGTGGCGATACTCGGAGGAGTCAGCCAGCTCCTCAGACATGAGCAGGTGCTTGAGGACGGCCAGAATGTTGTCGCCTAGAGATGAATAAAATATATTTTCTTCAACCGAGGCCTCCGCTCTAGTAGACACCACAAATCACCAGTTTAAATACATTTAAATTTGCACATCAATTGGGTCATGAAACTGTTGACCTGACTCATGATGAAAAGACCACATTTCTTCTGAGGGATCCGCTTTACTAGACAATGCACCATAATTATTGGCCAGTGTTGACTTGTAAATCAACTAAGGAATGAATTTGTTGACATGAATAGAGGGCTCTGAGGTTATATGAATAAATTGATTTGTGCAACACTGACAGAAAAAGGATGACGCAAAAGCCAAGGACTTTGAGCCTTCTTTATTGCGATCCTCCCTACGATCATCTCATTAATAATTAAATTCTTGACTACCACTGGGATGTAAAAATTCAGGTAAAAAAACTAATTACAGTTAATTGTATTGATTAGAAACAATCGAAAAATGAAAGACAATTTATATTATTAAGCTGTCATTAATTAACCAATTATTTAATAGAATGAGTTACAAAAAAATGAGTATTACCTAATTATTTACAATTCGTCAACCAATTATTTCCTAAGAAATTATTTCCCAAATAAAGGAATACCAATTAATGCAATGAACAAATTTTAAACAATTTTGCCCACCACGGTTGTGATGGCAGTGAGGTTTACATGACCTGAAGCACACGTTTTTTTCATATTACAAGCGTCACCGCCTGCATGCTTACATGCTTAAAGGCACAACAATGCACCTAGTGTTCTCTCGGGCGCCATTTGCTCTGCCGCAAAGGTCTGCTTTTTGAGTGTGTGAGTAAGCCTTACTGCTTACTCCACTTCATGCCAGCCTCAAAAATATGACTACTACTTCACTGTTTCTCCCTCTCTAACAATTCATGTCTTTTGCCGAGCACACAAAAAGAGAAGGGGGTGAGGGAGAGATACAGCATCTGCCTGTGGTTTTTTTTTTTTTTTTTTTTTTTTTTGCTGATAGACCTGATTTTCCGCTTAGGTGGAGCGCAATTATTCAAGCAGCAGGTAATGGAGTGCATCTGTAGTAGGTACGCTCGCTATGTGTGCATCTTTTTGCGCCTTGCCTACCAGATACTGACATTAGAAAAGCGCTGAACAATATAAAAGTGGCCAGTCTCGCAGAGAACTGATGTTTGCATGTTGTTGCTGCTTCGTGTGTGTTAAAGGAGAAGCTGTTTATTCATAATTACGTCTATGTTCATTTCCGGATGTTCACTGTACGAAGAAGGGCAATTATTAAGTAAGTCTGATATTCTGTTAACTGTATACCTGCTCTCTGTATGGATCCTGTGAGGATCCTGTCGGCGGTGTCGTACTTGGTATGATAGATGAAACCGTTCTCGATGAACGCCAGGTCAATTCCTGCAGAAACCCCAAATAAAAGGCATATTCGAATTCAAGCGTTTTTTTGGTCGTACACACATAGCATCCCTGAGGAATGAAAACGAAGGGAATAGTTTTATAGCCCCTTCCATGTTGTTACCTGGGATGTTACCAAAGTCCCTGTAGATTCGGAAGTCCGTGTCGGAGGGGATGATGCCACTCTGAAAGACCTCCTGGCCCACCACGGAAGCGAAAGGGTGCTTGGCAGCGTGCACGTAGGCTTGGACCAGCCACGGGTTTTCTGGACCTGTTGGGACCAAAACGCGGAGGTGATACTGGGGAATTTAAGACACGGCTGTTATGTTTCACGACTTGATATGATATTTGTCAAATGAGATAAGATTTAGCAAGCATGTAGGAATTAAGCGGCTCCAATATTTAGTCTTGGTTTTAAAATGCATTTGGGTATTTGCTGATGACTCCCTTACCCGTCTGGAAAACGACCTCCTTGCCCCCGACGCCGGCGGCCTCCAAGTTAATGAAGGCTCTCACCTGTTTGGCCCACGGGTGCTGAGTGATGAACCCGTGACTGGCCTACGCAGACCAGACAAAAACAGAAGTGGTCAAAACAAAACAGGCGCGCGTCCTTAGGCTAGATCCTGTACTACCTGTAGGACATTTTCTTCCGCCCCGTTGAAGAGGAAGATGACACCGTGGCGAAGAGGAGTAGACTGGTTGGCGAGCGAGTGGAGGACTTCCAACATAACGGCACAGCTCACGGCGTCGTCGCTCGCACCTGAAGATAAGGACAACGGTAAAAATGGCAACTTTCTAACACCGCATAGCTCAGAGAATTGGGGTCAGGGGAATACACCTCAAATTTTTTGGGGGGAGATTTATTATTGTAAGAAGTTGTAATATTCTCCAGACACCTTTCCATATTTTAACTTGACAGTTAATAAAGACGACGACATTACGAATGATCTCCGACATTACGAATGATCTCCTGTGGGAAAATAACCGTTTCAAAACTTGAACAGGGGCAAGGGTGGACCAGCTTCCAGGAACAGATTGGCAGCGCCACACCATACGATACCAAAGGGCAGTTTACAGTGACCTAGCAAAAAGAATACAAACAACGTCGGAATAAATGGCAGGAAGCCGCGTGTGAAACACGCCAGGAATGCATCGACCTGCTGGGGCTCCGGCACCGGCTGCATTGTGTTGACGATGGCGAGAGAAAAAAGGGGGGTTGGTGGTGGTTGGGGGCGGGGGGGCTACCCCATGGGAGGAAGAGAATAGGGCATGTGATGCCAAAATCTTTAAACAGGTTAGTGTCGAGGCGTGACATTGGCCAGGAATTCTTTGCATCCAATTTTTTTTTCCCTCTAAAGAACAAATCATGTGCTTTGCAGATTGGAGGCTTAGCGCTTATTTGTCTGTCTGGGTTACTGCCGCCATCCCTCATGCGAGCAACGTTCAACCTCGGTGCCTCCAAAAGTCCTCAAATGGGATTTCAAACCAGCCATCGTACCAAAAATGTGAAGTTTGCTTTTGAACAATAACCTCCAAACCCCAGCCTCTAATCTGTTTTTGTTGTTGTTGTTCATGAGAACCAGCTAGCTCGCTAACCAACCAATAAAGGATGAGGAAAACAGAACCTCCACACAGGGTTCGACATTCATGGTGGCCCGATGGCCCTGGGCCAGTGTTGCACTGTCTCAGCTCACGACGTAACTTACAGGCGCTGGCCTGACTGGGCCAGTGGAAATTTCTGAAATAGGATGAAATCACCACATTCTTGCTTTTTCAACATGCAAAGGGCCGCCTCGTTAAAACGCTTAATAGCAGATCCTGCCTTACCACAGTTTCTTTTATGACATTTTCCTGAAAGGTACAAATATTTCAGTTGTGTTTTCTAAGGAAATGATTTTTCAGGAAATCAGTAAGTTGTCAAGGCTTGTGCCACTTCCTGCTCCACATGAGCAATTTCCCTTTCTCAGGGGTGAAGAAGTTCATACATGTGCATGCGCGCACGCACACGGACACACACGACCGAGCGAATGTGATTCTCTGCAGCAACTCGTGGGTATGGAGGTAGAAAAATTCCTTTTATGAGAAGTCAAGAAAAAAAACGTCGGGGGGGGGGGGCAACGGCCTGCTTCAAACCAACCGGTTTTGAAGTACAACTGAAATTTAGATCAGATGGCATGCAAATTACTCAAGAAAGAAATATGTTCAAGTAGTATTCAGGAGATATGTCCACGCTTGATCAAAACGTGATGTTAAAAAGTACATCTCGAGTTTTAGACCACCTAATGGCACGGCTACTGTTTTTACTCAAAACCTTTGGACCTGACTAGTGGAAATATGAAGCCGCTGCAGTGTTTTGATAAGATCGATGGCATATTTGAGGGGCTCAAAAAAACAAAACAAACCAAAACAAAAAACATATCCAACACCTTTCTAGGCAGTGGGAACAAATGAAAGATAAACTTCAGGTTCAGTAGGGTGCTTGAGGCAAAAGCAGCAAGGGGAGGGAAGGTGGAGTCAATGTTCAATTGTGCCGCCTTAATTATAGGTACAGGACGTAATGGTGCTTTTTTAAAAAACGTCACAATTTTAAAGTTCCCAGGTGTTTTAATAGAGGGCGGTGACATGCTTTTGTCAAACATGTCAAGAATAATGGAAAGAAAAAAAAACAAATCTCACCGTATCTCCTCGCCTTTCCAATTTGGATTTTGTTACCTCATAAAATGTAACTTATTGATTATAAGTAACACAATTTGAAAATTGGGAAAACATGTATTCTATGGATTTTCAAATATATTCTCTTTTCTTTAATTGAGCGAGTCTAGCGCCGTGTGAGGTATCCTTACGCCGCTGCGCAAACTATTCATTGCACGTTTGTAACTTTTGAGGCGTCGTACGTCTCGAGGGCAAAATTCATACCTGGACTGTTGGCCACAGTGTCAAAGTGGCAGTTGGCCAGCATGAGATGCTTCGAGCCACCTTTGGGCTCCAGGCGCACCACGATGTTGGTGACACGGTCATAAAAGCTGGTGAAGCCGCCGAGGAAGTCGATGGAGAAGGAGCCGGTGGGCCGCTGCACATCCACGCTCAGCTGAAGATGCGGGCCCACCTCAGTCATCGCGCGGACTTTCTCGATCTGCTCCAGCAGGTAGTCCACCGTCAACACTTCATTCTCGTGGCTGCCGACTGGCCGTGGTCCCACGTTGACGATGCGTTCCAGGTGCTGCCTGAATGCAGAGAGATGCTATCTTCATTTCCGGGCTTGAGTTTAAAGGTTACTTTGCATTCTCTGGACCCATTTTGACATACATGAATTAAATTGTGAACAATTTCCATTAAGGTTTGTGGAAGTTTTACAACGCGAATAACTGGCGGCCACCCCAGGGTGAACCCCAGCTCTTGCCTGCAACCCTAAAGACTAAACCCATCGATAGAAAATGGATCGATTCTTGAATGAAGGCGTGACAGGGGTCCACTGTTCGACCGTTTTGTTTTTTATTGTTAGGATGTGCATGTGTATGGTTCTGACATGCCTTCTGTTGCGAATTGACACATCATGCAATTGAACTGAATTTAGTCTCTATGGCAAAATTGAATCACTGGCAACAGGCTTTAAATCGGTTCAATTTTGTAAATTAACATTGAGAAAGTGGCCAACACGACGAGAGCTAATCCTGTTTGGCCACAACTTTATAGACAGCTGAGCTCCAGAGAGCCAGTGTGGTATCATAATCCGTGTCGCACCAGAAAGAATAATTTCTTTTTCGTCACATGGTTCCAAAGCCTGCTTTGCGACACACATAATGATCCAAAGCTTTGGTGAAAAAGAAAAGGAACGTCAGTTACTACAAAATGAAAGCACCTTTATTTGCGCTGACAAATGTGAGGAAATCTTGATGTAGATCATTATCATCATGTCAAGTGCATTGTGTTTTTTTGTTTTTTTAAACCGACTGTTTTTATGTCATCATTCTAATCATAAAGAACTATGAACATTTGTACTGAATGTGCCCAGTGTTTTTAGGCGGATTGCTTTCATGTCACATTGTTAAAACTCGAGCTGTCCCAATACGATCATGTGATAGGATGTCAGGGTTGATCAGATTATTTTGAGATGATCTGTATTGCTTGAAAAAAATGATGATACATTTTTAATTTACTTCTGTTGTAAATCGCCAATCTGATGCTGGGTACAACGACATTGCCAATACAATGTAAAGTTTTGGGTACATGTAATGGCTGGAAAAAAAAACACATACACACAAATACTTGCACAAAGTATTTCTTGTCATACTTGTTCCTTCTTCTCCAGGCATGACCAATCAACCCTCACTGAATCGCACTTAAACAAATGTTTCCAATATAAAATGTTCTATGGACAAAGAAAATCTAAGTGAAAATTGCCATCATCTCAGGATATAAAATGACCTAAACTATAAAATGCTATCTATAAAGCAGAGCACTTCATGATCCAATTGACTGTAAAAATAATATCTGTGTTCATTGATTTAAAGTGGGGTTAACGCCTCTAGCTCTTCTGTGAAATAGAACCGTTGATCATTTAAGATCTTGTTCCTAAGGTTAGATTTTTTTTGCAGTATTGTTTTCAGATATTATTTGGGGATATTAAACTTTTATTTGTCCAAAGTATATTAGAACACTTCTTACACTGGCCATAAGGTACACTTGCAAGGCTGTTCCAAAGCAAGCTCAGCATCAAAACATCTGCCTTGAACTTCAGCGTGGTGTTCTTGTGGTTGTACTTTGCAGTGGTGTAACATAACGCTTTGTTTATTCAGCTAAATTTGAATGGTGTTTATTCTCAACATAATACCTGCATGTCACTTTACTTTGCAGGCTCTTTCAATGCGGGTCAGATTGGAGGAAAGGTTAGCCAGACCATTAACCGCCTTAACTGGATGAAACACGGTTGGGTTTCCGCTCAGGCTACTCACCTGGCTCTCTCCGCGTTGAACTCCCCGCTCGGCTTCCCTATGACGAGCTGCTGGAGGGACAAGTGAACGAGTGCCCACAGAAGCAGAATAAACACGCACACCAGAGAAGTTGCCGGACCCTCTCGGAGCAGGTCCAAGCTCACGTCGGGCTTCCTCTTCGGCTCACTAACGCCGCTGCCGCTCCAGCCGTTGTAGTCCTCTCCGTAGCGGCCCCCGGGGCTGCCGTGGCCCGGCGCTACATCGCTCTGCGTCCCGAATGGCGGCTTTATTCTACGGACGGTTGTGTCGCTCTCCATTTTAAGGGCCAGCGGCACATCAGCTGCAAGCGTCGCTCCAAGGCGTCGCAGCTTGTCTTTTTTCCCCCCCTCCACCTTCCGGGATGGCGGACGGGAAGCAACTGGGGACAAACTGCGTATTGGGGCGTGCCTCCGTGTAACGTCACGATAAAGAGTCAAAGCAAGCACTTGTTTGCAGTGGTTTTACATAATCGTTGTTGAAATGGTAGTTTCATGTGAATAGTGGTGAATTACAGGATATATATCATTTGAAAAATACTATATTCCCCTTGTAACTGATTTTCTCTTTTTTTAAGAACAGGGAACGAGTTGTTTTATTTAAATGTGACGTCAGTGATGGGTACTGTATCCTCGTCCTGTGCAAACAGGCGAGATAGAGAGATGAGATATGTACAGTACAGGATTGTTCAAATTACTGAATACAAAAAGTCAATGAAGTACCCCACAACCTGAAACTTAAAGTAAAACAAATAAGTTAGATAAGAAATGAAACTCCCAACAATCAAAATGTTCACTCAACCAGCATATCACTTTGTTATAAGTGTACTTATGTAAATGTTCATGAATACCATAAACAAATCATCTTTTCATCAATTGTTTTTACTAAAGACAACTGTAAAGTCCCTGGAGAGGACATTGTTATATTTGATGCTTATACTGCTGACAACAGAAATGATTTACAGTACATACATTGGATGGAGGATAGCACCCATCTGTTTTTGTTTTACGACCCCAGTACTTTTCCATTACACGTAGCCTAGCTTGCATTTTGTTTGGCAAGTGGAGTCTATGCCATAGACTCTATGGCATCTACTTGCCGAACAAAATGGTATGTGGTAGGACTTTGTCACAAATAAAACATATTTATGACGATCGGGATATTAGTTTTTTGTGACCCTTTTATCTGTCGAAAAGATGTTCTTGATCAGAGTCATAAGAGAACCTGCCCACGCACATATTAGCATCTGTAGCATTTGACGTTTTCGTCATCAGAGGCGTAACGTACCACGAAATTACGTCGTCTGTTTCCGCTTTTACTTGAAAAATAAAATCCTATTTTCGGTGAGATTGCATAAAACTTTTGTCACAACAACCATGTTGACTGGCGGAGCAAATTTAAGTGATTTTATATTAGATTTAGGTGGTGACCTATGTGTACTTTTCACCCGTATGAACCAGTCGACATCACTTTCTTTTGATGTCTCGGAGATTCAAACGGAAGTGTGTTAACATTCACCGTGTACCTTGACTTCGTCACTCAAACAAACTACCTTCAACTTTGGTCCGTCACTCATCACCAGGGCATAGCGGGGAAGAGATCATCTGTTGGCCCGTCGTGTCTCTACCCGAGGCCGGATGGTAAAATCCAACCTCCAGCGGATCCTAAACAGTCATTGCTTTGCTCGCGAAAAGGAAGGAAAACAACAGCCTCTCACTACCATGGCGGATTTGAGTAGCGGTATTTGTGACATGATTGCTAAGTAAGTAAGCAAGCAAGAGAGCTAACGGTGCTAATCGATGTGTGGGGGAGGGGTGGCGACAATCCGCTCAAGTGAAATTAAATGTTTATTCATAGTACGGAATGTGGAAGTTACCGCACCGCTTAGGCTCGTTAAACATAAATTCACACTGGGTTACGAAAGTGATACGTTAAATTGCCGTTTGTTGCCGATCGCTATCGTTGCCTCGATACGACTATTTACGCTAACCGTTCATGCTAGTCGGCCAGTTAGCATCTGAGTCGAGCAGTTAAGGCTAATCAGTGAACTAACTTCGTCGTAGTAATGAAACTTCGCTTCAATGCTTAATTTGATGACATTCCGTTAAACATTTCACCTTTATCCTGCGATTGATCCGTACGCCTAAACCCACTTCCTCGTTTAGCATAAGTGCGTCACTATGCATGCCATACTGTTGTGCTTGTAACACTGCTGACAACGAACTAGCAGTGTTGAATGTAGTCTAGATAATACGTTTTAATGCTTCTAAAAGGCATCGGGTACGTTATTATGTCTGAAAAATATTTTTCCGGCCCATGTCGGTCTCGTGACTTGTGGCAAGTTGAGGCCGTTATGTAATAGACGGCTGCGCTTCGAGCGACGTCACATTACGTAATGACGTCTTCGGGGGGCCTCAACCAGCGTAAACTCAGCGTCACCCGTGTTTATGGGCGTCAATCGTCGGAATAAGGAAATATTTAGCCTAGCCATGTAGCATAACGTTGAATATGGCAGCAAGCAAGCCACCAAAAGAGCAACGACAACCCAGCGACAGGTTTTCCCCTCGTTTTCTCGTTTTTTTTTAACGGGACCTTACCTGATTGTTATTGTTTTTTTACGACAACATCTAAACCATTTTTGACATTGAGTGGAAATCTAATAACGTGACGTGCAATACAAAACGGAGGCCCAAACTTTACAATACAGACTATAAACACAAATACAAACAAGTTTTCTATTTTCGTTCCATTGCTAACACTGCTTTTTCTGTGCCCGCCTTGCAGTCTGTCCATGCACTGTAGTACCCGCGGCCCAGGGCCTCTGTGGTGCTCCTGATGCCCCTCTCCCACCCCTGAAGATCCCAGGTGGGCGAGGGAATGGCACACGGGATCACGCTCCTGCAGCTCGGTTGCTCCACTCAGTAAGTCGCAGCCCTCCTGCCCGTCCGATCAAAGATGACGAAGGATTTAATTTTGCCCCCTCATCTTCCCGTCAGGACCTGAAGTTGACCGTTAGTGAGGAGCCAGCGGGCAGCGGTCGCCCCGGGATACTCCACTTCCAAAGTCATCTCACGGTCAGCAAGGCGGTTCAATGGGACGCTGTCGTGAGCAGCAGCGCTCTCTTTGTGGAGATCCCTCTCGAGCCGCTGCCTGAAGGTAGCAAGGAGAGGTGAGCCTTACGGTGACCTTTTCTAGCGCATGTGAGCCGAACTGGAGCCGATAGCGGCTAACGTTTGGCAAAAGAAGCGGGGTGCATGCCTGATTGGTTGCCAGCCAATCTCATTGTAAAAATACAATTGTAATTTACCAACTCTTGCTACAAGTTACCTGCCCAAAAATGGTTACATACACTGTTTACTGGTTGAATGCTAATTGTATTTTCGAATATTCTTGAGAGCTTTTTTTTTTCTGATTTTATTTTGTTTGCAGCTTAGCGTCTCTGCTGGAATACGCTGAAGAACATCTGAAAGTGGTCGGCGTCTTTGTCTGCTTCTACAAGAACCGGGATGATCGCGGTATGTATACACACCAGGCCTCGGAGCACCTTAACGCTGAACTAACATACAGAACAGAGATGCATGTACCAATGATGTGCCTTTTTTTTGTTTCTGTAGCCAAGCTGGTGCGTACATTCAGTTTCCTGGGCTTCGAGATCGTGAAACCGGGCCACGCCCTCGTCCCGCCTCGACCAGACGTTCTCTTCATGGCCTACAATTTCGATAGGGACTCTTCCGACGAGGAGTAAAACCCAGCCCCTTTCCCGAAACCTTCCACCCCCCCCTTTCGTTCCCCTGTTTTGTGTTTGTTGATCTCTTGGTTGTGTTCCCCCATGAGCATCAAGTTTGGGTAATAGGGAAGGAGGTTTGACTTTTGGCTTGTTTAGTGTTAGCTGTGCATATGTAGCTCTGCTTTGTTTACCCATTGAGTCGTTCTATTGTTTGAATGTACAACACACAAAGGTCTATTTTATTTTCTTTCTTTACTTACATTCTGGTACTGCGGCGACAAAATGGCTGCCATGTTTGAATCTTATTTTTCAGGGGGACCACTGTGTAGCATTCACTAACATCCACTTATGTTAACAACCCCATTTATTGGTACTTAAATAGCCACACCATTTTAGTGAAGACATTTTGAACATGTAAATTAGACAAGAAGGGGAATTATCCAAAGGGTTTTTTTTTTTTTTTTGCTTCATTATCACCTATAAATCTCAATTGTTTTCATGTTCTGTTTTCTGGGTTGATTCATGAGGGAAGAAAAGCTGTGATGTTGTGATTGGACTGACTGCATCTGCATTCCGTTTTGTTTCATGATGTTCAACTGGCATGTTGTGCTCCTGTACCTATTGTGCTTCTTATAATAAAACAACCCCAAAATCTACCCCGATGGTTCATTTGAAATCACGGCTTTTAAGACATCTCCACCTAACAACAAATATTGGAACATTTATAATCTGGTACACAAAAATGTTTAATTCGGACTTTGATGTGCTAAATGCTATTAGTACTCCACGTACACAAAGAAAAAAGCTTGTTGTCTTGAATCCAAATATTTAATAGGTACATATTAAGTATTATGACATGTATAAAACATGATGCAGTGGAACTCCTCAACAGACTGGCGAATGCGCTCGGCAAAAAGAAATGATAGGGAAGCAACTCAAAACCTATATGAGAAATCGGACAGATTTGAAGTCTTAGAGAAATGAAATGTGACTTAAATTCTTCAGTGGGGTGCAAGAATTATTTTTAAGTAAAAGTAAAGAAACAACACAGCACTGAAGCCAAGCGTCCACAAGACGTCTAAAAAGGGTTTTTAGCACTGTAGGTTCACGTACAGAAGGAAGTCACTGCAGGAAGGAGCGCTATTTAGTTAGCCACAAACAAAAAAATCATTAATGCACATCACAGTTCGCCTTGAAAAGACCATTTATAATTGCATGTTATGAAACAACGACAACAACAAATAAACCTGAATGATTGAACAGAAGCGAGGACGACATCAGAACAAACACGACAAGCCCACCGGGAAACGTCGCGTGACTGGAAAACATGTCACGTGACCATAAAGGAGGTGAGAATTTGAAATCCTGCCAACCGTCAACATTTGAATGCATCATAACAGGGATGGGGGGGGTATAAGATGTGCCAAAGTGGGAGGGGGTGTCAGACACCCGTCAAAGACACATCAATTGGATGTGACAAAGCTGCATCAAAGGGCCACATTATCTAAGATGTGTCAAGTGGATGTAGCATTAAACGTGTCACATCGGGTGTAACGTCAAACACACCAAAAACTTGTGGTATCATGAAAGACAATTCAAAACGGGGTGCCTGATCAAATCGCTGTCAAATGACGGTATGTTCAAAGACACATGACATGGGGTACATCGAGTGCACCTCAAATGAGCGTACCATCTAAGACAAGTCAAATGGGGCATATCGAGACTTGTGAAATGGGACGCATTCTTCAAAATGGGTTTCAACAACACATCGAATGAGACTATAACGACATGGTCCCGGAATGTTTTACTGTGTCCTCAAAGACACGCCAAATGAGGGGTGGGAGTGGGGCAACATCAAAGATGTTAATCATCATCAAAGTGCGTGGATGGTACAAATAAATGCAGGTTGGCAGATATATGACACATACCAAATTTCGTCAAACGTTGGCCTCCGTTTGACGATACGCCTCCCTCAAGCCAATTTCGTGTACTCTCTGCAGTCGAGTACTGTAGTACTATAGTTGCAGGGCAGGGGCTCACCTGTGATGGGAGAATTGTGATTTCCCAGGAATGTTGTACATAGAACATAGTTAACTTTGTCTTATGTTGTAACGTCTCAATATATATTTTTAATTGCTTTTTTTTTGGGGCGGGGGGGGGGGGGTTATTTTTATTTGAGTCTTTTCAAATAGCGAATATTGGCTGATTAAATCAGCCGGGCAAAAACAATACCAACATGAAAGGTAATTGGAAGTGTGTATCAAACGGTTTGGTGACCCCTGTTGCAGAGTATCGAAGTGTGTGTGTGTGTGTGTGTGTGTGTGTGTGTGTGTGTGTGTGTGTGTGCGCTTGTGGTGGGCTCGTGAGTACGTGCGTTCAAGTCCTTGGTGTGAAATCTCAGGCTGGTGAGGTTTGCGGAGAAAACGGATGAGGTCGGAAGCTACTGAGGTGCTTTGTGTGCTCACTGATTGTATACATGAAATGGCTGTGTGATGCACTATACATGTGCCCATTGGGGAAGTGCAATGCATCCCTTAAAGTGGAGCTTTCAACAGTATGTGTGTGTGTGTGTGTGTGTGTGTGTGTGTTTATATGCGTGTTTGTGTATGCATGTGTGTGCGCCTTCCGATGTGGAGCGTCGTGGCTCTCATCGGCCCTTCGTGTAGCCAGGAAAGAACTGGTCCAGCAGAAGCTGTAGAGTCTTGTTTTGCGTCATGACGTAGTCCTTGCCCAGGTCGTGGCGGCAGGCGGGACAGGTGTACACCTCTGCCCGGAACGAGCGCTGGAGGCAAGTCTAGGCATGCAGAGAAAGAGTAGTCCCTTGATACTCATTTTTAAAAAATATGATTACTGTGATATTTCTGAGAAACAACCCCCACCCCCCCCAAAAAAAAATCGTTTTACCTTGCACACATTGTGCGAGCAGACGGTAGTGATGGGCTGGAAGGCCAACTCCTGGCAGCAAACGCACATGAAGATCTGCTCCATCTTACGCAGGAAGTTCTCCAAAGCACAAAAGAAAAATGTAAGTTTCTTTTTTTTTTCAAGGGGGTGGGGGGCAGCGCAGATAACATCCCACATTGTATTTGCGTATTCATATAGGACATACTGGTCCCTCTGCGAGGTGTCCCAGGGCCTCGTCCCACAGCTTCTTGTTGGCCGCGTCCTCTCCGATCAACTGCCGCTGCTGCTCCGACAGCACGAACGCCTCCTCCACCTTCGGGCGCTTGGAGGGAGGCTCGGATGCTGGTGACAAATCTGGGAATATTAAACAATACACACACAAACGATTGTTGTTATTACTATTATTATTATTATTATTATTATTATATATTTTTTTGCCTCAGGAGGAATTGCTCAAGCAATACCCTGATAGAGACTCTATGGGGGTAACAATTTCAGAAAAATCCACACCACCTGTTTACCCAATCATTCAAATGAAAACATTCAATGCAGTTTCTGTCTGTTCTCCTGCCACGCCAGCAGAGGGCGCAAGTGATCCACACTTAACGAGTGTATTTTCTCCAATAATGGTCTCAAAAAGACTGTGGGTTGCAGAGACAAATAAACACCTTCCTCATATAAACGCTTTCCTGTTCCCCTCAGTGACTCCGTAACTCTGTCGTTCGTTTCGGTAATTCATGCCTAACGACTGCATTTCCTCAAGCCGCGGCATCAAAGTTACTCTGTTCTGCTGCAACGATAAACCCCTTTCTCAAATAGATACACTGAAATTCATGCCCAATAATTTATATTTCCTGAAATGATGCCTTTTAATAGATTGTTACTTACTGTGTACGTCATCAGCTTAAGAAAAAATAAACACCTCCCTCAACTAGATGCTTCCTTTTACCCCTTTGGAAAATGGCATTCGTCTGAATCTGGTCGCCTGTCACAATAGCACATATTCCTCGTGTTTGTCTCTGTGGAGGTGTAAAGACAAATAAACAGCAGCCATTGGTTCCACAGGGAAATGCCTTTTCTTTGTCTTTTCATTAATGCACACCTTACTACCGCATTTCCTCCCAAAAATGGCCTCGGAGAGTCTTTGTGAGCGTGCAACATCCCATAAAATTAAATTAAATGCCTCCTTCAAATGCCTCTTTTTCTTTTTAATTAGGAAAAACGCAATGAAGCAATAATAGTTCATAGACACTATTAAAAGTGATGATAACCCAAACAGCAGTATTTTAACCGCCTTCCCAATGAATGAGTGTCCAGAGCTGCCTGACCCATTCTACAGTTCGGTAAATGAAAAAAAATTAAGAAATTTAAATGAAAAAAAATTTTTTTGACAAATATTTTACAAAATAAAACTTTCCACAAACAAGCAAACAATCACCACCTACCAGAGTCCTTGCTGGCTTTCTGATCGCCGTTACTCTGAGGCTTCTCCTCCTCCTCCTCCTCCACGGCGGCCATCAGGTGCTCGTATTCTTCGTCCTCCTCTTCCTCTATCTTGAGCTGCTTCCGCGGCCGGCCCCTCCCTCGCCCCCTCCCGGAGTGGTGCTTACTCCGACCGCCGCGACCGGGCCGGGCGATGGCCTCCTTCTTTGTCTTGTTCGCCATGACTGCCTGGTAGCCTGGTGGGTACTGCACGCACATAAACCCACACACGGCCATTGGTGGGAAGTAATGGGGGGCGGGGACAACGTGAAGGAAACAATCATTTCATGCTGTCTCACCTGGATCAATAGTCCCAATTTCTTGATCCTGTCCAGTCCTTCAGGTGTCCAGGGTGCTGGTTCCTGATCGTCCCGTCTCAGCAGGTACCTCCACACCAAGTAGCCGCACTTGCCGATCTCCGGCCAATATTTCACCACCTGCAACAAAAGGCAACAGCATTTAAACGCACGATCTGTGAAAACGGTGCTCACGACATCGACCAATCATTTTTTTCTCAGAGGAATCTATCCTCAGCCATATACTGAAATATTTACCTTTTTATGTTTTTGTGCTCTTTATGAGTATCGCAACAAAGGGATGGCTCATAGGAAAGTAGTAATTGAGTCAAGGAAGTACAGTCTGTTGAAATGATACCTCTTGACTTAGGTTTTCTTATATCAGAGAGGAGCTAAGTTTAGCCTGGGTTGTTAGTGGAGTGTTTTCCGCATGAGCATTTTATCCCTGGGTAACCAAACAAGTATGAATGAAAGTAAACTCAAAACTTGCTGTGAAAGTGAACACAACAGAGCCCTTCACTTCCTTCACCTTGTAGATGCCGTCGTAGCGGTTTCCTTCCTCGGGGGCATATTTGCTGATGCGGCGGCCTTTGGAGCTGCGCACCACTCTCACCGGCTTCCCGGCCCGCCAGTTCCGGGACTCGGCTCCATCTTTGTCATTTAGTGGGGCGTCACAGTTGAGCGCCAAGGCTCTGCAAGTACACCAAATCGATCATGTATAGTTGTTACAGTATGGGAAATGGACTTGACGGAAAGGTGCGACGATCCGGAGAACCTTTCAAGCAATGGGCGGAGGTCAGCATGAAACACTTAATAAAAACTAAAAGGTAAGCAGAGCTGCATTGAGGAAAGTGCTGGACTCTTATCATGGAAATCCATCTATTTTCCAATTCGCTTATCCTCATAAGGGTCGCGGGGGGTACTGGAGCCGATCCCAGCTGTCTCCAGGCAGTAGGCGGGGGGGCCATCAGCGCTCACACTCACACCTAGTGACAATTTAGAGTGTTCAATCAGCCTGCCATGCATGTTTTTGGAATGTGGGAGGAAACCGGAGTACCCGGAGAAAACCCACGCAGGCCCGGGGAGAACATGCAAACTCCACACAGGGAGGCCAGAGCTGGAATTGAACCCGGTACCTCTGCACTGTGAGGTCAACGCCCTAACCACTGGGTCACCGGGCCACCTGTTACAATAACAATAAACAAAATAAAAACTTTACCTGTTCATGTGGGTCAACGTCTGGTCAAACGAGTGCTCTCCAATTCGTTTGTTTCCGGAGAGGTCACGGCCTCCGCTTCCTGTGTATGTGAACTCATCCCCCCGGTCCTAAACAAAGTCACGTATATAGTATTACACAAGAAAGTCAACCAGAAGAAATCCAGCACTAAACACCACGTAACGCACCACTTCATCCTCAAAGCCGCCCGCCAGCACCAGCGAGTAGGAGCCGTCGTTACTGCGACCGTGGATGCCGCCGACGTGCGGCCTGTGAACTCCCGCCTCGCTCACCTGAGGGTGCAAAAATAAGAGCGGCGGAGGAAAATTAAACGCGTCGTCCGCGGTTTGCACCTCGCAACAAGATGGCAGCCAACCTGGACTCGGAATTTCCATGTGGTTCCCACAGGAACGCCGGGAATGGGTCCATAGTGGTTGGAGGGAACAATCGTGCACTCCTTGGTACGTCCCACACAGGCCATGCCCTGAAAAGAACATCAAAAGATCACATCGACACACAAGCAGTTTAAAAATTAGCTCGATCAAACCACTTGTGCAAAACCAAGTGAATATTTTGACAGAAGAATATCCGAGAGCTTTTATTAAACCAGCTGCGAACAGTTTTACATCGTGGGGGGGGGAAAAAAAAAGTGCATTCTTCAAAGCGTAACGCGTACGGTGTAATGCTAATAAAAGTGTTTTTTTTTTTATTATCTAAAAGAAGCTACAATTTAGGACAACGCTGGCTGTGATATCATGGCTGTTAAATGCGCCAACATAACACACACAAGACGAGCTGTTTTAAATTAGCCCACAGACAGGGAATGTTCCACAGAAGAAACGAGGTATTTTTCCCATGACAAGTCCAGGAAAGTGTCTCGGTCACGCTCAGCGGCATTGTTCTCGTAACCAAAGAAGGTTAAAAAAAAAAAAATGGCGGAAAATAAGAGATCAGTGAGCCGCTGTTTGCCAGCCCTTGACAATATTATTCATATAAAGTACATAAATAATAAAGTAAATATGTCTTATGGGTCCCCGGCAAACCCATTGAGAAGAAAATTTGCCCCTTGACACCAATTTCACCAATCCAATTGGATAGACGTGTCTATCACAAAAGAATGCACGAAAAAGTCTTCACGACTCGGGCCCAAAAGTGAACAGAAAGAGAGACGTTTTGGTTTAAAGCCGCCTACTCGGGGATTTGTCCAAATACCTCCCAATTAGAGGCAGGAATCCTAGACAGATAGGCGGCGCTACATTGCCTCGCTTTTTTTTTTTCCTCCCTTCGCCATCTACTGCGGGTGGAGCCTGCTCATATTTTGCGGATCATTTCAAAGATTTGCTGTGACAAAAAGGGCGCAAGAGCCCCTTCGCCTCTGCTCCCATCTTCATTTTGCCTTAGTGTGGATTTTTACACTCACCTTGCCCCAATCCCGTTGACTCTCGGTGGTGGCCGACGGCATTTTGGCCCTCTTTTTGCTAGCTTTGAGCTTTTCCCCGGCCTTGACCACTTCGCTGGTGTCATTTTTACAGGTGGGACAGTACCTGGCGACAACACATGGGAAGAGGTTACGCGCCGATGTCAGCTTGTAGCAGTTACAAAACAGGGAGAGCTATAAATAGAAACATAGCGGGTGGGCTCTTCCTGCCTTTGCAACAGCAAACCCACGCGCTGGTTTGGCAGTCAAGACACGCGGGATTAGCTCACGGAATAAACCCTTTTTTTTCCCTTTTTATTTTGACACACGTCCATCAAAGACATATTTAAACCCGCTGTAACCCGCAGACGACAAGACGGCTGGGCGGCAGCATCTCACCAGTCCTCATCGTCCGGGATGGTGGCCAGCGGCGGGTTGAGGCAGTAGATGTGAAAGGCCATGTTGCACTCGTCGCAGAGCAGCTGCATGTGAGCGTCCTGCTTGCCGCCGCACACACAGCACGAGCAGAAGCGGCACTCGGCGTCCGGGTCGGCCTTACAGTGTTTGCATTCCGGCCCGCTCTTCCCTAAAACCGACAAGGGGGACAGCAAAACATGGAGTCTTATTTGTTAGCAGGGTTTTTCCAATATTTAGAGGCGGCTGGCGAGCTTCATCTCATTTTGGACCCGAGTGAATCTGAACTGACTATAAAATCAAAGATGCACGCAGCGATGAACGGCCTACTAGAAATTGTCTGTAACTTAGCATCACTAAGGATATTTGCTTCGAATTAGGGCTCAGTGCGTCGGATTTTCCAAAATGGCTACTTCAAAACAAAATGGCCGACTTGAGACTTTTTTTTTGTGCTGCCTTTTATGATGGATGCGTCCATCCCATTTTGATCAGTGAAATTGGCATTGTGGGGCTATGTTTGTCTAACTTTCTCAGAATCCTTAAAATGCTAATGAAACTTTTACATCTTTGAGCCCTGGAAATTCGCCCAAAAAGGCTACTTCAAAAAATTTCAATGGCCAACTTCCCATTTAATTTCAGGCATGGATCATTGGCATGTTTTTGTGGGGCCTCTTATAATTTACATGCCCATGCGCCCATTTTCGTGTTGAATAGTGAAACTGGGTGTCTGGAACAATATTTTACTAACTTTTTAGGGGCCCCCAAAAGGCAACACTGATACACACAGCGATTCCAAGAGCGCTCGCATCGTAAAAATAGTATAAAACCAATACATTTCCACTTGTGTTGAACAAGGAAGTTGACCCATTTGTCCCTCCCGATATATCCTGAACTCGCGTACCATTTGATCAGTTCAAATGCCCATCGTTGATGTCATATTACTCTTCTTTAACAACTATAATTATGCTAACTGAGACTTCATTTTCTGTTGTCAGTGTGGCTTTACGCTGCGCACTTTTAAATTGTCCATCTGCAGCTGACAGTGCCGGAGCTCCTGGTTTCTCCACCTGGTAGATTTCATCCAAAAAGTGAACTTTACAATCCCCGATCACGTCACCGGGACCCCTGGAAGCGGGTACGACACACAAAACAATGAGAAGATTAGCATCTAGGGAGAAGGAGATGAAGAAGGGGTGACCTTTCAAGAGCCTCACCCCAGGAGAATCTTGACTCTGAGCTCCTTGTTGGTGCGGGAGGCCTGATTGAGGGTCTGAATTTCCGCGTCGAACCAGAAGCCCCTCTCCTCTGGCGTTTCCATGTTGTAGTTGACAAACACGTGCATGCCCACCATGAGCTGGTCCCAGCGCAGCAGGGTCCGGGCACGTGGCCGCACATCTACCGCTCGCATCTCCACCAGACCATTTTCGGGGTAGCTGGCATAAGACGAGAAGGCCAGGTCAGCGTTGCTTCAAACCAACGTAGTCTCGGCTTCACGTTAAATTCCCACATGAGTCCTTGAGACTTTTTTGTGTCACGTTATGATCAAGATGCCCGGTTGCCATTTCTCTCCCTCATAATTAACGCGACAAGCCGAAATTCGCAGTCTAATCCTTATCCTCAACTCAGAAGCTGTACTGATCCCAAATGCAAAGCGACGTTGCCATCAAATGACGGCTGTTCAGTTATTTCGAGGGTTTTTTTTTTTTGTATAATTTTATGTAGAAGCTTGAATTTCACAGATAAACTGAGGGAAAACCCCTTTTCACCTCGACCCGATAAAACTTGCCAAATGCAATCGGTGATGGCGTTAAACTGTTCGATTTCAGTTGACAGATGAGTTATGGTGAACAAAATATTTATTGGTCACAATTACTGTTGAATGTTGTGCATCTCCGGCGAAACAAATCCCCCAAAAGCACAGGGCAATTGGGTTTTCCCTGCATATCAATGCTTCACGAGATAAATTACATTCCGTAGAAATCCCATCCTGTAAAAAAATTAAAAAAAAAAAAAAACACAGCGGCTCATCTTGTGCAGCTGCTCTTCTATTTTCAAGACCATGTGTCCAAGCAGGTGTTTACGGGGGAGAATGTATGTGTATGTGGGAGTGGGAAATCAAGCACAAGGGAAGAAAAAAAAAAAAAAACACTGCCCACCCTTTCGCTTTCGAGAAGATGACAAAAAAAAAAAAAAAAAAACGCAGACAAAAAGCAGAAGATTTTTTTATGGTAAGCCAACGGATACTATCAGCACATGAAATGGGTCGGTGTTCGCTTTGCAGGTGGGCCCAATGATGACACATCGCTGCGGTTTAATACGAACCCGGACCTTTGTTGTCCTTGTTCTCGTCCTTCCTCGGTCTCTAACCCAATCAGATACATCAGGCAAAAGACATTGAGCGAAAAAAAAAAAAAAAAAACAATGTGAACTCTGCAGCACTGGACTGCCCCTGTCATATTTTCATTTTTTCAATTAAAATCGCAAAAAAAGAATAAAAAATCTGTTGAAAATGGAAAGAACAAATGATCCACGATGAGTCACTTTTTAAATTTGGGGATTTTCGATTGCCTATTGAAAATGGAACGAGCGCATTATACATAGATTCAAAATGACGTCGACAACCAAAAGCGCAAATTGGAAACGCTCACAAAAATACCCGCGGCGTCAGCCGTGCCAAGGCGGCCATGTCTGAACGGCGACGGGTTCGCAGCAATTACAGACAAAAGCCGGAGGAGCGGCGGAAAAAAGTAATGCTCCCGAGAACGCGGGGGTAACCATGGAAACGCCGGCTTGCAGAATTAATTTGACAGGGAAAAAAAAAAAAAAAAAAAGAGAGAGAGGGGTACGCGCCAGATACGAGTCCAATTTGTGGGTCGCCATTGCTGATGCACGCGTGCATTTTTATCGCCGCGCGCTTGCGTTTTACTGATCGGCGGCAACCCGATTTCCCGCCGCGCCGCAACATCTTGCATGACATACTGTATGCCACAGAGGAAGGCACACAAGCTCATTATCTCACTAGCAGGTACAGCAAGGACACTTCCGATCCGGTCGCTCGCGTTTCGTTTTCTCAAATAACGGCCCACCGTTTAATAAATTAAAGAAAGAAAAATAAACACCTTCTTCATATAATTGATTTACGCCACAGTTCCGGTCAATAAAACTTAATGAATATTGAATTTGGGCAAGAGAATTTTAAAAAAAGGTGGGTTGATAAATTTTAGCTGACTCTTGTCAAGAGAATTATGTTACATCCTAAAATTCCAGTCTTCAATTAACCCAACATGCATGTTTTTAGTATGCGGGAGGACGCTGGAGTACCCGAAAAAAACCAACGCGGGACAGGGAAAACATGCTAACTCCACTCAGGACGACCAGAGCTGATCTGAGAACTTACCGCCAGGTCAGCATGATGCTTTGCCATTTCTAGTAGCTGATCTTTTTTTTTTTAAACGACAGTTTCAAATCATTTTTTCCCCCAAAATACGGGTGTAAAAAAATGAAAGGCAACCCTTCTAATAGACGCCTATCCCATCTGCGGTTGAGTAAACAAAGACCATCAGCCAGTATTTCCCAGCACGACGAAACAGCACTTACTCTTCATATTTAATGTGATAGACGACATCCTCGTCCGTGGAGTCCGTCTGCGATGTGGATGCGCCGTTGCTCTCCGAGTTTAACGCATTGACGTTATTCCTGACATTGTCCGTGCTTTGGCCCGGGCCGAGGGGCTGCTGGCCCTGCTCGCTCTCCAGCTTTCCGTTAGTCCTTTTCGGGGGTCGCCCCACCTTGTTTTTGACGGGTCCTTTGGGGGCGCGGCTCACGTTCTCCACGCAGGCCTCAAACCAGGCGCCCACGCTCACATCCCTGCAGTCTACCAGCTCGTTAATCTGGAGGGGGAAAAAAGAGGTGCCATTAGGCCGGTCACAAAAACAAACGTTTTCCGTGCTTTTTTTTGTTTTTGTTTTTTTTTGGTCCCTTCACGTTTACAACAAAAACAATATGAATTACAGGCAGAACATTTTGACTGTTTAACAGTTTTTGTGTTTACAACAGAGAAAAATCGACAATTTTTTTTTTGGTTGCAAATTTGGGGGGGGGGGTGTTTTTGATTGAATGTATTCATGTGTAAAATTTAATTTAAAAAAAATGTGTGTGTGTGTGTGTATATATATATATGGGGAAAAAATACGAAGATTTTTGCCAATTTCCCAAATGTTAATATCTGTCATTTAAAAAGGCCGGCCAACTAATTGGTCAAGCGCTAGTCTTTATGAACACTTCAATATCCAACTACATGTATTATTTACTGTCTTTCCACACAGTGGTCATGCGGCACAGTACGGCACGCTCAGTTACCGCCTTAATGTTTTTCAAGTGGTTGTTTTACATTTAAGACCTAGAAGTGTTTTTCATAGAAATATTTAGTATAATTATGAATTTATTGCTGTATTAGGCGTAGGTTAAATTTGCTTTACGTCATCGTAGTGGGACTGACACTAACCATAAATCAAGGACACCCTTTATATAATTCCAAGTTGGTTTACGGCCGTACGATTCCTGCAAACCAAATAAAAGGGGCCAGTCCGAGACTTACTTTGTATTTCCCAATTCCCGGGTCCACCAGTGTGTTCTTGCTGGATGTAGGGAGTTGGGTGTCGCGCGTCGGACTCGAGGGCTTGAACCCATTTTTGGTGCCGGCTGAGTTATTGAGGGCAACGGCTTGGTCTGGCTTGGGCTCATTGGCAGTCTCGGCCGCGGCGCCGCAGTCATTGTCTTTATCGGTGGAAGTTTCCATTGCGGCGGGGGAGACGGGAGCGGGGCGGTCGGGGCTTTCAGCTCGAGGGACAGCGGAGGCCGCGGCAGGGGCCGAAGTGCACGCCACACTGTGGGGGTCCTTGGTCACGGGGCTGTCCGGAGGGTCTGTTTGGGAGCGAATCAGCAGCTGGACAATGTCATTGAGACCCACGTTGTAGTCAAACAGCGTCTGGCCATCTTCCATCTGGTGAAAAAAAAACACAAAAAGAGGTGACTGAGATACAACGTGAACTAACGGTTACTGTCGGGCCCGCCCAATCAAAACTTCCAGAGAGAAAAGCAAATGGTGGAAAACGCAGGCTTCTAATGTTAATGATCAATCAAAAAGGCAACACCGGAGCAACTGGAAACATCCATCAGTCACGTCCCAATACTTTTGCTCACTTGAAAAGCGGGTGCCTTCAAACAAAAGGTGCTGGGCCCTGAGTGGTTTTCCACATCTAGACGTACATGCCATGAAATAAAAGCTGAAATTCGGAACTTTTGTCTCATTCATCTTTCAATCCGAAAGCCAAATGGATGCAGTTTGCCGCCAAAAACGAAGGAATTGAAAACATTAGCGGACAACAACCCACCGCTGTCACACCAAAACGGCAAGCAGCCTGTCAAGGACAAAGAAGGTACACGGCTACATTCGATCGCCGCTCTCTGGGGCTTACAGAAAAGAAGCTTTCAAGAAGCAATTACATTACAAACATACGTGTGTTTGCAAAATGAAAGTAAAAAGATGCGTAACCGTACTGTTATTTTATTTTTTTTTTTTTTTGCGAAAATTTTATGAGGGGGAAGAATCATGGGTTGCCATGACGACCAAACGGGAGCATGCCCGATCTCCTACCCCGCCCCCCCCAACATCCTTCATCCACGTGAACCTGAATGTGTAAATAATCAAAAAGTACCATCAACGCGCCGCCGATTTTTGCAGACTTTTCAGAGCATGGTTCGCTAAATTGACCATCTACTCGCATCCATAAGCCAGCGTGACTCATTACAGGCGTCAGCCATTCATCTCCAGGTTCATTGTGTGCCGCCGAGCCGAGCATGGCCGCCACCGCGCCTCCAGGAAGAGACTATTTGAAGGCGTAGCGAGTTGGGTGTGGGCGAGGGGTGGGAGGGTACATCTCCCCCCATCCCTCTCTAGTTTTAATTGTCTGGCAAAATGTTGAACAGAGAGGCAGCGGTGAAAACTGCGCATCCACCTGACCCAATCTTGGTCTTCCATTCAGGTCCCTGTTTAACCTTCACTGGGTGACCACGTTGGAAAACATGGGGCTAGGTTTTCAGAAGAAAAACCGCAGCGGAATTGCATACGCCGCATTAAAACCGAATCACATCTCGGCAGCTCTCGCTATTTTTTTCCCCCCCTCCGGCAACTTTATTACCACCACAGCGCAAACGGCACCCTCGCTGTGACAGCCCCAGTTTTTCCCAATCACAACCCGCTCAGCAGCCGACAACACAAAGAGACCCATCGCGCAGAAAAGGCGACGTTTGATGCGAATCCGTCCAGATTTCTCCCCGTGTGCCGGACCAATAACACGACCATGATCCGAGCACGGGTATAGTCTATTCCCAGTCATAAATAATGCAGTAGAATATAAACACACGTTGCCTCTGGTATCCTCGTTTTATGACTCAGTGAAATGTCACGTAGTGTTCCACTTGAGGATGTCTGATCCGAACGACGCTTTGGACAGACTGGAGACACTTGACTTGAGGAAAAAGGCTTGCAACAAACCAAAGCAAGGCGTGTGTGTGTGCGTATCTGTGTGTGTGTGTGTGAATGTGCAGTGGAATGAAACAAGCCCTTCTCTCCGCAGGGCTAATTTCTCTTCAGTTATTTCTGCCGGCATCCTTTCAAACGGCGCCTTCCACATTGTTGAAGGTACCAAAGACGAATATCAGACAGAGGCTCAAACAGAGACAAGCAAAAGACTTGTGGCTAATGTCAAAAACAACCCCCCTCCCCATCAAAACAAACAAACAAACAAAGAAAAAAAACAGCACTTCCTGCTGTGGGCAACAATGCGAGGCAAATCTTGTTGAATTTGAACTTGTGTCACATTTCCTTTATCTGATCCTGTCTGTAAATAGGAAATTTAAAAAATTAATTAGGCCGCAACACTGTGCCCACATGGTGCTTAGCGTTCAAATAACAACACTACAGGCACATGTACACTGTGGGAAAACAGACTTTTGTGTGTTTCATCAAGTGCCAAGCCCGATAGCTTCGTGCCGACACGCAATGGAAAACGTCATAGAAGGGCTCACGGAATTAGCAACAATGTTGCGGCGTTATCGCTCGTCAAACAAGAGATGTTTACACAAATGGTGCAACAAAACACGAAGACAGACAGTAAAATATATTCTCTTTAATCGTCTGCGAAAAATGACCGCCCAGTTGTGACCATCTTGTTCGTGTGGAGACGTAAGCACGCATTGTACTGCTTGCTGGTGACCAAGCGCGGAGGGAGCCGCAAAATGAATGCTCACGGTCAGGATGGCACCACCTCTGCCTCAGTTTGAGCCAGGAAAAACTCTGTGTGGGGCTAATTTACAAAACAACTGCTCATGCAGTGTTTCTCACTGATGATGGCAAAAAAAAAAAAAAAAAAGCCCCCCCAAAAAAAAAAAAACCAGCCACTTTCAAGCAATGATCACACTTCTGTGTGAAACTTGACAATAATTCAGCAGCTTGGTCATGATGTCCTGCCTCCACAAGTTAAATTTGGCCGTTTCATTTGGAGCTTAGCTGTCTCCAGAAGTCTTCAATAGCAAAATAGTAATAATAATAATAATAATAATAAAATAATAATAACAATAAAGTAAAATATCACTAGATCCGTTGATAGTCTTACAACTGTGATAAAATATCAAGTGTAAAATAATTTACCTTTTCTGTATTTTGAAAACGTTTTTATTAACACTGCTGGGAACTATTTAAATAGTAAATAAATAGATAAAAATACAAAATAAGACCGATGAAGCACAGCCGGGTCGTGATCAATAGACTTTGAAGCGAGTGAGGAGAGGGACTGCAATGTTATTTTTCCGACAGGATAAAACGGTGTGAAACCAGAGCTTCCCCCCCACAGCATTGGCAGCTATCCGAAACGATTTTCGCCTTCGCCCTCCACCCACAGCGCGTCTCGGCGAAGAGCTGAGCAAAATAGGTCACATTTCCAAAAACAATGACACGGGCCATGGGGCGTGTCAGCCATCCGCTAAATTCACGCTAAAGGCCTTTTACCCCTAGAAGGACTGGTTTAACAGTTCGGGATACAGGAAATAGAAATGACACTTCTTAAACAGAGATTCACTTGAATAATAACAAATAATCACCAATACGAGCAACGTTTTCAGTAACATCTTAACGTTTCTTCACTCGGATTCATTGGGAAAATAAGCTAACTGCTCAGTTAGCTTCATCGTCGATGGTGGAATGTGGAGGACATTCTTCACGCTCAAGTCGTAGAATTGTCAGAATTAGCGAAGCGCTGTAACAACGTTTTCAACGACAGCATTACTTCTAAATGGAGGTCAAACGGCGGAAGGGAAAACGTTGCGTTTCGACATGAGAGGTCACACTGCAGTTGGAGACGGGGGAACCGTGTGCAAAGATTCCTGATCCAGAGCCTGTCTTTGTCTGGTGACCGTCCATGAAGCGCACGAGTACAAACACGCTTGGCTGCGTCAAAACTGCCCAAAGTGGAGCCATCGAAAAACCTCCACGCATGTGCAATAATCAAAAAGTTGAAGCCTTAACTAGGTCACCGCAACAGTGCGCGCACGTGCGTACGCGCGGCATTTGTGTGTTAAGCTTTTCCGACGAGTCGACAATAGGCAACGACTCACGGCGGGAGACGGCACAAACTGGTAACGCATGAAACATGTTGAACCGTTTAATAAACAAGCCGACCTTTCTTTCGTTTTTGTTTTTTTTTTTCCTTCACTGAAAGGCCGAGTGGAAGCGACCGTGGGCACGAGGTAGCAAGGCCGCGTGGACAACAGAAGGTGTGTGCGTGTACGTGTCGTGAAAAATGGCCACACGAGACGCCGCAAAGTGAAACACAAGTAAGCACGGCAAATAAAACCCCAAACAGCGATGGCGTCGAGACCCTCGCGGGGGCCTGCAGTGAGCTGGAACGTATGTGTGTGTGTGTGTGTGTGTGTGTGTGTGTGTGTGTGTGTGTGTGTGTGTGTTTGTGTTGAGTGTGCAAGCGTGTGTGCTTGTGGTGGTGGGGGTAAACAAGACGCCATTTTGAAAAGGAATTAAGACAGAGCTTTTCCCGTGCGCGGGAGGGCACGAGCTCGTGTTGGACTGGGTGTCGCTGGCTCATTCCATGCATTACTCGGCGCTCGGAAATCCCCGAATCAAGCCTCCCCTGCTCATTTTCTAGCTAGACTGAGGAGGAAACGCGGGATTTTGCAGTAGCGCAGTCCTCGCCGTTGCCAGCATAGCCAGCAACCCCCCCCCCCCAACTGCTTTGTGACATAACCCAGCTAATAATTAAACCGTGAATCAACCGCATGTCTTTTTACAACATCAAATCTACGCGGTTTTCGGGGCTCTCGCTTCGACATAAATGGAATCCTCGCTATTCGCGGAGGTTAGGGATCAAAAACCTACCGCGAATAACAAAAATTACACGCACACACACAAAATTAGCATAGCCTTGTAGTTGCCTTGATTTATGAGTACTCCCCCAGGCCTTCAGATTTTTGTGTCGCGAGTAGGGCGAGACAATTAATACAATTCAAATTGACTTAGCAATGGAGTTGAATGCTATTTTCAAATCGAAAAGGCTTCAATATGGTTGGCTGATACCAGCTATTTTTTAAATATACAGTATGTTTGCTTTATTTATTTATTAGTGTTGAAATAAGTGTGTTCCACAATTCTATATATCATTATTTCATGAATAGCTAATAGTTGTAGTTGTAGTTTAGTATTAGTTGAGTTCACCAAATGTGAAGGCCTTCGAGGAGCCCAGAGTGCCGGACTTGGAATACTTCAAGTCGCTTCCTTATCACCATGTTCTCTTCATTAACACTCCCAACGTATCTTTGTGGGAGCCAACAAACTGCACAAAGATGAACAGAGGGGAGAATCACCCTTTGGCCACAGTCGCCATTTCCTTCAATGGGCCTCAATTTCACAACAGGAAGTAGTACGTTGGTCAGATTCTTTCATAAAGTACATTCTTATTCTAGTGATATTCATGTGACTGCAGGAAGTAGGACTCGGATGTAGACTCGGATGTAAACAACGAGGGTCCACACAACACAGTAAGAAACGTCCTGCGTCGACGAGGTCATAAAATGAAACTCATTTGATAAATGTTTCTTTTTTTCCCAAAAGGAGCTTACATCATTAAAGTGGTTCAAAGAATTTGATGTGTCTTCATATTTTCTTGGCGTTTAAACATTTTCTTGTCTTGTACCCTGAAAATAAATGACTGAGTGAATAATCGTGATTTCAATTATCACCAAAATCATCGGGATTATTTTTCTTTTTCCATAACCGAGCGGCCCTATCCGAAACGGACACCTTCTCTTTTACCCGTTTAAGAAAACCACACTAGCAAACAGGATAACATCTACATAATAATAATAAGAGAATATTTACTGTTTTGAGAGGATGACATCTTCAATTAAACAATTTATGGATGATGAAAAATATTTGATTCATTTGATATTTAATGAGTTGTTGATTAATTGCCCGATCATTACGCCTCTAAAATGACGAAGCATACACAATGAGGCTTCAAAAATCGCGACAAACGATGACACTGAATCAAGCCGCTTTCAAACGCCGTAGCCATGGGGCCTCCTGAATGTGTGAAAGCACGCGACGCTGAAAATGAATGCTGTCTGGCAACCCCGCCAGGTAGTTTGCGAGCTAACAGGCCCGAGCCTGGCAATAATAACTAAGTAACTTCCTTTTGCACCGGATAACCACTGATGCGAACAAAGGCGTCCAAGTTAGCGGGGGAGGGGCGGACTCATGCCCGACACCGAAGTGCATCACTGGGCGCCATTTTAGCCATGTGCCCCCCAACCCCCCCTCCAAAAAAATCTGCAAATGGTGAGAAACAGTTTCATGGTGTATCTCTGCAATTGAGGACTACCTCTATTTAGAAACAAATCTCATTTTATTTTCCAGGGTCTTTACACAATACCATATTACATATGTGAAAACAACAAAATATAATTCTTGCCTCGAATTAACACCTTCCTAATAGACCTGTGGCGTTGTGCACTAAAGTAGATAAACCTCCCCAGCCACTATGCACTAAACTGAAACACGTTGTACCCTATTTAGCTATGTACGCTAAATAAAATCCGACTGAGAGGTAAAGTTGTGACCAATGAGTGTGCATTTTATGACACCTGATAGTGCGCTCGTAAAATCTTGACGGATCTAAAGAACTGTCATAAAATAGCTGATGCACCCCATCATAGTAAACATTTTTTTTTTTTTGCCCATTGTCTTCGGTCAAAACAAAAGTAATGGCAAAGTCATCAAAAATGTCCATGGCGAATCGGTTAAGTTGTAAACGCAGAATACACAGCGTACTACTTTCTGCCTGACATGGAATAAAAATATGTAAAGTAAGGAAATGCATGACTTAACCGTGGCAGAACCATCGGGGCTCCTCAAACCGGACACTATAAGCCGTAGCTTGGGGGACCATAAAATAATTTTCAATAAATGATCATTTATTCAAATAAAAATAAAGTTGTGGGGACGGGGGGCATGTGTGCCAATAAAACCAATTACACTCCCTATTAGAGAACGCTCTACTCTGATTAAACTTTGACTTTATTATGTTAATATTATAACTTTATCTTGGCAAAAATATCTTGAACTCTATGGATCTGTTATCATAACGCTACAAATTTTTTCTCGATATGTACTTTATTGTTAATTTTGCTCGCAACTTTGTACTTTTACGCCATGCATTTGAAAACTATACCTTCTACTCCTTAGTCTGGCAAAGTAAAGTCGGCTGTTACTTTCTGAAATCTCCAGGGAAGACGATGATGAAAAAGAGTCAGCACACACCTCCCAAAATTTCACGGGCCTCATATTAAGCCCGCAAAAAGTTCTGATTTTTTAGGAGTCTTTTCCTGTGTTTTGATATTTCAAGTGTGGACACAGAAGAAATGTAACTCGTTTTTCAAAGGCACCACTCTATTTATCAACGCTCCAGCAGCCCAGAATGCACGATTATGTTGTTCTCATTTTTTTTTCACAAAAACCTGCCAGTTGAGTGTAGTTGTTGACTCTTTATATTTACTGTATAATCGGACGAATACCAGCACGAGTATTCGCTCTTTGAGTATTCCCCGATAACAAGTACTGATACCTCGAGTACTATTGATACATACAATTTAATTGAACACAATGACCAAAAACTGTGAACAAAGACCTTTCTTTCTGACGCAGATCATATTTCGTCGATTTGTCAGTCTGCTGCAGTTTAGCGCGATTGCAGAGGACTACTTGCTTGATGTCAGATTTTGTGTGTGTGTGTGTGTGTGTGTGTGTGTGTGTGTGTGTGTGTGTATAGATAGATAGACAGATAGGTAGATCTGTCTGTGTGTGTGCGTGTTAAGTATCGTGGCTGGTATCGGCAGCTTCCAATAATGTCCGATACCTTCAAATAAGATACCTGGACTTGATACTCCATTTGGAATCGGAACTTTCTTGAACTGAAAAAAAAAACCTTGGCTCAGTACTTGATACTGCGTTTGGAACCTGAACTTTCTTGAGCTGCAAAAGACGTTGGCACAGTTCTTCAGTTTGTTTTACTCAAGTATCTGTACTTGTACTTAAAGTCAAGCATCTGTACTTGTACTTATAGTACAGAGGATGAATACTTTTGCCACCTCGGTTTTAACCAAACAGATATAATGAGGTAATGACCTTAATTGATGCTAACGTGCAAAACAGCATTGGTGAAGTGGATGGGTGCTCTCCTTCCGCTCTCTCCCAGTCTACCGCGTCAATGTAAACAAACATGTCCACGGCGCATGTTGTGTGTGCAGGGGGACTCCCAAAACAACTTGACATGACCGTGAGGACCACTCTTTGAAAACAGAGAGCGGAGGGGGGTTTCTTGCGCAACAGCTATTGGCGAATTCCTATCAAAACAGGAAGCCACCGAGTGTCACTAGTTTTTCGCTGCATGGACATAAATACATAAAATAAGACGAATGTTGCGTGACCAGGGTAGCCTACCTGCTTGCCCCGGTAGAAGAGGCGCTGTTGCTGCGGGCTCACGTTGAAGATATCCCGAATTTTCACGCGGAGGGTTTCGATTTTGGTCAGCCTGGACAGATCGTCCACGGTTCGGGTCTCCTTCCCGTCTATGGTGCGGACCTGAATCCACATCGTCGCGCCGCCCCTGTTTAAAAACGTCTCGACTAAAATGCGCGATTGGATGGTTGGCGGGGGAATTGTCGGATTCCTAAAAAGGGGCGCGGTGGTTCAGACGAACGCAATCCGAATCTCCATCGCGGTTTTTTCGCCGCAGAGGCAAAAAAAACGTCGGTCGGAGGACTAGTGTGTGCTGTGGCTCGTGCGGATGGTGTTTCACATGAGGTCGCGGCGCCAATTGAGTCTCGCGAGATCTCGGCCGCGAGACTTTCCGCTCTGTTGTTAAAGGCGCCGTTCACAACAAAAACAAAAGTGTTCACCACCAGTTTGGTAGAAAGTACCTGAAAGACGTACTTGTCTACAAGTATGTTGACGGAAAATAATTTAGTTTAAGTCACCTTGTAAATTGTTACTTTTGTTATGTGTGATTGCACAAGCGCTCAACACAACTAAATTTTATGTATGCACTTTCACAATCGGCATCCATTGCAGCCTGGTCATACTGCAAGAGAGATTCGACCATCTACGGACCCTTCTCAATGTTTCTCAAATTTTCCCCAGATGTTGTTTTTTTCCTTGCCCTCCTGGGGGTTAAGGTCAGGGGATGTCGTTAATATTTGTCACCTGTGGGCATGTGAAGCCCTTTGAAACTGTTTGTTATTAAGGGCTATATAAATAAATGTGACTTGACTTGACTAATCATTATCGTCTCTCGAGGTCGATATGTTTTAATTGCGTAGGGTGTATCCCTTTGTGGAAGAACATCTCTGAAAGCTTCACAAGTGATGCCTCGGCTTCTTGCGACATCTAGCGATGGGAAATAAGAGTATTGTGGCTCGAGTTTGACATTTAACAGGGTGTTTAAGATCTTTGTAATGTTGTTATTTGATCATGGTTATACACAATATGTCACCAAAATAAGGATGGATGGAGATAGTTCATTCGTTTCCAAAAGTATGGTGGCCGAGGAGCTTCGTCGGTATTTAATTGGCGAATGAGTGGAATTTTCTCAGCGCTTTTGACGTCACTGAGATAAAGTAAGCCCGTATGACCACCGTATGGGAAAACGCATTTGTCTCCAAAAGTTACGATTCTGACATCCCCTTGTTTTCTACTTCCAAAGCCCCCCGCCCCCCGACTCAGTTAGCCCAGACGGCTAATTCGAATGAAATGCCGTCCTCTTGTTGGGATTCTCCGCTGAGGGTTCGCCTGCCCGGCTAATAACACGGCGTTTGCTTTAGCATTAGCCATCAGCTCACCGCCATTGACATTTCTCCGACATGAGCTGTCGCCCTCTTTACTTTACTTTTTGCCCAAACGACGTTTAATGCGACGCGACCATGGAGACCGAGCGGAGCAACTGTAGGCCAAGTCCGGTAGACAATCGTGAGTAGCTAGCTCTAGCAAACTGACCGCTATTCTCCTGGCAATAAAATAAAATATAAAATAAAATAAAAAGATCAGTGCTTTCGGTGGGATTTTGAGCTGCGTTTAAAATGTTACGGTACGTGGTCTGATTTAACGTGTTTGTGTGCTTATTGTATAAATGTATCGCCAGGTTGGACGAAGAAGAAACTTTTGTTTACTTTCTAAGCTAGCAGGCTAACTGCTAACCTCAAGCGCGCTCGTGTGGATGTAAACCAAAACAAAAAGTTGCGGTGGGTATGTAAAATTTAGAAGTGTAAGCTGTGAGCCGTCACAGGAAGTTTGAATAATTAGTTGTGTCAATGGCAGTGACTTGAAATGGTAGCGTGCTGAAATTGAATGATAGGCATAAGGATTTAATGATTAAATCCCTCTACTTGCTGTCATTTTGACACCAGAATCAGAAAAATCTTTATTGGCCAAAGTATGTGAAAACCCGCGCACAGAGATTGACTTGAAGTCAGCTGGCAGAGGCTTCATCTCAGCTGTGACCCTGAAGGTTGTTTAGCAAATTGATGACGAAACAATGTTTATATTTATATGTATAATTTTCCAATATTCCCTACTTAACTTTACATAGACAATGTCCACCCCATTGCAACCCTAGTCCACAATCGTCTCTACAGTCTTGAGCGTTTTCACCTATCAACTAACAACCACTCATTTTGTCTCATTGTAGGATTCTCCATCACAACAACAATATGATGGACAGCTGTGAACACTTTGCACACTCTCATCCATAAGGGTTAGGCCAAGTCCGGCGTCATGTCTTCAGGTTCTGTATGGACAAGGGCTTGCGCTGATGACATGGACTTTGAAGCGTCCGAGGACGGTCTCAGCACTGTCGCTCCTGGGGACCACCCAGCGAACAGCAATGATGGCATGTCCGACTTCTCCAACAGTGACATTTCGCTCCCCGAAGTCTGTGTCACCACCAACTTTGAGGAGACCATGACCAATGAGGTCCAGCAAGCCTATAGGATCTTCTCTGGCTTACTTCTGGACAAGCACAAGGCACTTACCGGCCTGTTCCTCCACGCCGTGGGACATCAGGAGGTCCAGTGTGGTGTCGGTGGTGTCTGCGCTCCTGGTCAGGCGAGGCTCAAGCAGTCCATGTGCTTGCGGAGGATGGAGGAGAAGTTTGTCAGCCTGGAGTATCAGAGCATAACAGAGTTTGTGGCTGACTTCAGGCTGATGTTGGAGAACTGCTACCGCTACCATGGCGTGGACCACTGGCTCTCCAAACAGGCTCAAAAGCTGGAGATTATGTTAGAGCAGAAGCTTACACTACTGTCCAGGTACACACATAATTCACTGCACTCTGTACGGTGCTTGTGGTGTTGACAGTGGAAAAAGCAGGGTGGTAAACAACTCAAGATGATATATAGAAAGGTCGGTATTGCAATTTCTAGTGGTTGGAGTTCACATCTAGCTGCTCAACATAAAGTACAATTAGTGCCCAATTTAAGATAAAGAATCGTTTGTGATATATTTTCAGTAACAGAGATCGAGCCCTCCTGCGAATGGCAAAAAAAACACAATTGATGCCACCCAAAAGTTCAATTGCTGATATTAATAGCTTAAACTATTAATATGTATATATATATA